CAGTGCAGCGGCAGCAGCCTTCTGGGTTTGCTGGCAGGGTTTTTGCATCCCTGACCCAGGAGGTGCAAGGTCACCAGTGAATATAAGCAGCGCAAGAACCACGCACCGCGTGAAAAATAGTGTGGAAACAGCACTGCTCTGTCCTGGGGATGCTGTCGTGAGCCACCCGCGCGTGAGCTGCTGGCACGTGTTGGTCCCTTAGGCAGTGATGGCAGCGAGCGGGACGTGCCCCTCCGAGTGCTTGCCCCAGGAGCAGCCTGGGACCCCAGGAGCAGCCTGGGACCCTGGAGCCGCCAGCTCCCGGGCTGGCTTTTTCCTCATCAGTAGAGCCCTCGCGCTTCTCTTTCTTCTCGCTTTTACTGACCGCGGCCCACTGATCTGAGCAGCAAAGGCTGTCTCCTTGAAGTGTCCCTTCTCACAAACGTAGCTCTGCCAGGAGAGATCCGAATGGCATCTTCTGGGGTGCCGGTGGTTCGGGCAGAGCTGGTGAAGTGCTGCAGAGGCACTTCTTGGGAGCAGGCGGACACCGAGGCGGGGACCTGTCCTGCCTTGCAGGGGTGTGGGGGTTCTCCCCCCACCTTCAGTATTACGAACACGACCATGAGGGCAGGGTGCTGTTCTGGGACAACAGTGGGGGTGGACGTGCTGTCCTCATACAGGGACGTAATTGCTTCTGGTTGTCAAGGCTGTGGCGGTGGTGATCAGCAGATGGTGAGCCTGGGCTGTGTGTTGAGCCTAATGACAGAAGATCTGTCAAAGCCAAAACACAGTAGAGATGGAAAAGCTGTCAGACCCACGTGCTCCTCTCCCAACCCACCAGGAAGCCAGGTTCTCCACGCCTTCACCTCTCCCACCAGCCTGGGGAAGGGGGGAACCCATGGATCCTGGGGGTGTGGAGGCACCCGGAGCCCCTGCTGCACCCCAGCTGGGGGTAGCGTAGCGTAGAGGCAACTCTTGCTGTGCTTTAACATGTGCCTGCCTGCTCTCGCAGAGCCCATGTGCCATTGCCGGGTATATGTGTCCGTCCCCATTACTGGACAGACCTGTGAAGGACCTGGGGACGCAGGTGGAGTCGGCCCCAGCCCTGCTGCACACCCCTGTGTGACGGTGCCGCAGCCCAGTGCTGCCTGCACAGCCCTGGGGGCTGCGCATTGCTCACAGGCGTCTGCAAACGGCTGCTCCCGGGCAAATGGGCAGCAATTAAGAGGGCAGGGGAGCTGATCGTGGGCACCCACCTGCGTGTGTCCCTGGCTGTGAGTGAGCACCGATCCTCGCAGCCGGAGGTGGGAGCCCTGTCACGGTCATATGCTGGCCCCGCTCCTGCAGCCACCGAGCAGCCACTGTGCAGTCAGGGTGATGGATGCGGTGAGAAGGGAGGAGAGGGGTCTATCTTCCAGCTGGTGGTGGTGGGGAGAGGTGAGGGGTGCCATCTCCTGGGGCTGCTCGTCACTTAATGGCCTGTCTCTTGTTGCTTCTCAGGGCAGTAAATGGCTTTGATCAAGGTCCCCCTGGACTGGGAGCGTCCCGACCATCCTCAGCACCTGGCATGCTCCCCTTGAGCGTATGAGCCCGCGGGAGGTCGTGTTCGGACTTGCGGATGCTTTTCTCAGCCCATCAAGAGAAGAACTGCTCCCGATTCCTCCCCATTCCCGCCCCGCTGGAACACGACCTGCGACCTGCACCGTGCCGCCAGAGGAGACCCTGTGCTCACGGCCCTTCATGTCATGTTAATACAGTTTGTTTTCTCCTGTTGCTGTAGCGGACGTTCTCTGACTTGGCCCCACGCCCTGTGCCACACAAGCTGAGACACGCAGTGCTCTGTTTCGGGGGATGCAGGAGCCTTGCTCGCCAAACCTCGGCCAGGCAGTCCTCGGCCCCTCGCTTTATCTCTTCTCTAACTTAGGTTTGGCACGACACAAACGTTGGCCGCTCCTCTTAAAGGCTCCCCTTCTCCCTGCCTGCCTGCTCCAGCATCCTGCTGCTTAGGACGTGCAGCTGCTCTCCTCCCAGTACGGCTCTGATCTCTTGAAAGGGCCCTGGGTGAGGCTGTGCGATGGCACTTTGGACATTTGCGCCTGGGAATCAGGTCCAGGTACGTGACTGAGTTACTGCAGCTTAATAAATTACTGCCGGGCAGGTGCGCGGCTGGCGCTGCTGGTGCGTGGCCACCTCCTGCCTTGCCTCGGAGCGGGCAGGGGAGGATGAGCGTATCTGGCAGCCCTGCCGTGCACACCGGCGCCGGGCTCCTTGGGGGCCAGGGCCGAGCAGGGGCAGGGAGGGAGGGAGGTGCTGGGTGGCAGCAACGCTGGGGGTGACTGTCACAGGCCCAGCACACGTCAGTCGCAACATCAAATGCCTTAGTGTGAGCTGGCAGGGCAGACGTTGCCGAAGCGTTCTCCTCAGCGCTGCTCTCACACCCGTGCAGCTGCGAGGCAGTAACGTGTTCAGCCGCTGTAGCGTGCTCACGGTGTCCGTGTGCCTGTAGCACAGCTTCCCGGCCCCGTTGTACCCTGCCTTCATCAGTCAAACAACTTCCACACACCTCCACAACAGGGACTCTGCGAGAGCGTTAGGAAGCCACTCATCCAACTGGCCGCGCTGCCCATGACCCCCCCCCCCCCCAGGCCCCTTTAACCATCACAGCCACGTTCCCATCTGTGTAATATATGACTGGATTTTACAGCGTCACCTACGGGCTTCTGTGACAGTTTTGGGCGACTGTGTACCTTGTGGGTCTTTCAAGCAACGTATTTGTGCGATTTCTCTGTCTATGTGCCTCAGAGCCGGTGGATTTTTAAAATGAACCAGCAAACCCAGCCGGGTTTGATCTGTGGGTTTAGAAATCTTTGTTCCCGGTCTGGTCCCGTTCCCCGGTTGGCTCTGCAGCTCCCAGTTGGTTTATTTACAAGCGCTGAGAAAAACCATTGGCCCCAGCAGAAGGGAGGTGGGAAGTGCCCCCCTGCCGTTAGGGTTTGTATGGTCCTCCTTTCCTGTGCATCCTCTGCTGCATTTGACTGTTTACATTTGTTTTATTGTACATAGGTTTGTAAACATAATATCTTTGCCTAAGATCTTTGTACATAACTTGGGCTTTGTAGCTTTATTTATTCAAAATCTATATGGCATGTTTCAGTAGGACAGTGTACCATACCACCGTGGTGACACAGATCATGTGGTTTAACAAAAAAACAAGTAAGAGCAATCTTCCAAAAATAAAGTTCTTTTAATGTGGAATCAGTGGATTTTGCAGAAAGAGTGGCAGTGGCTGTATTTTGTCGTGTAGCATGTTCTGCCAAGCCCCAGGGAGAGGTTGGCGGTGCTGGTCTGCGCTGCCGCGCAGCTCCTGCTCCCATTTCCTTGGCATGTCTCCTCCTAATTTGGTTTGTGCACAGAGGGGAACAGCCACTGCTGGGACGGGGGCTGAGCAAAGACCTTTCCTCAGCTGTAGCCTCTGCTCCTGGCACTGAACCTCCTGGTGGCTCGGCTGAGGCCGGGGTTTCAAGATCTGGTTGGGGGAAGAGCCTGGGAGGGTGTTGGAGCCCTCCAGCTGCAGCCTCCAGGGCTTTTTGCCTCCTCGGAGCAGCTGAAAGGCGTTTCCTCTGCACAACAGCGGGGCTGGGGGCCCTTCCCCTCCCGTGTGCCTGGTGGGCTGACAGGGCTGTGGCAGCCCCAGGGGCTCTCCCCACGGCCCGTGCCTGCTCCCAGCTCTGCCCCCGCGGCACCCTCGGCTTTGCTGGCACGGCAGTGTTTTGCCTGACACAAAGGTGGGTGCTGCCTCTCTCAGGCCGCTGGGCTCAGCTCCAGCCCAGGCGCTCCCGAGGCACAGCCAAGGCACACCAACCCTGGGGGGCTGCCGTTCCAGCACCAGCTGCCCACTCCCGGCCAACAGCCAGGGCTGCGGTGTCAGTGCTACGGACCCTCCCTCCTGCTGCCGCCCAGGCTGGACCTGCCCCATCCACGGACAGAGACCTGGCAGCACACCCCCTCCCCGGCTGGGAATACACTCGCGCCAGCTCCTACCAACGCCCCCATCCCTGCCCCATGCAGGGGGAGGCCGTGCACCCCACCTGCCACCAGCTCCCTCCCCGGGGTGCAGTGCCTTGGAGGGGAACAGGGTCACCCTCACTGAGTCAGCCCTCCCCCCCCCGGTTAAAAACCCCCCTGGTAACAGTAAGCTGTTCTTGCACAGAGCCTGGGCCTTCTGCACCTGCCCTGATGTGTGCAAGCCATGAGAGAGAGAGGGAAAAGCCCTTCCACAGCCCCTACGCTCTTCCCAGCATGATCCCAGCTACAGGAGGAGCAGCAGCCACAGCCTTGAAGGAGGTACTCGCTCTAGCAACAGGTGCCCAGGAGTGAACAGGGTTCCAGGAGCTGGTGTCTGGGACTGGCAGGGGTGGCCCAGCCGCCCCCAGCCAGCCAGCTGGAAGCAGAGCTACCACTGAAAGGGTCAGCGCAGCTCCTGCCTGAGCCTTTTCCAGGAGCTTCCAGCTGCCCCACCAGCCCCAACCCTCTCTGCTACCTGCCTCCTTTCCCCCATCACCTCCCCTCCCGGGGCGTGTCCATCCTGGTCCCTGTTTTCTGTGCAGATCCAGCTGTGGAGCTGAGCAGGGATCAGCTCCAGGGCACCGGTACCTGCAGCTTTCTACTAACCTCAGCCTCATCCGACACTCTCGCTCCCTACTGCCAGGGCTCTGCTCCCAGACAGACAGGTGGAGCGGGTACTGCACCACAGGACACCTGAAACAGGAATCTAACTCCTCAGAAAAAAGACCAGACCCGGGTAAAGGCAGAAATGGGGGCTGCGCCTGCGCCACGGTACTGAAGGGCAGCATGAGGTTTATCGTCCCTTCGTGCTCCAGCTATGCATTGCCATTAAAGTTCAAAGGCAAAGGCTCTGCCCTTGACCAAGCCATTTATGCTGTATTTAGGTCAAAATGAAAGGGGGAAAAAAAACAAAACAACCCCCAAGCAAACAAAACAGTAAGAAGGGAAAAGGCAGCTTCCAGTCATATTCTCATTTATTAAGGTCTATGCCAGCCTCAGGAGATAGCTCTTCCTGTAAGTAAACAAAGCAGGCGGCCGCATCTATAATGAATAAATTTATTGTCTTACAAAAATCATTGTCTAGAAATATGGGTATACAAGAAAACAAGATATTTGCAGTCAGATGCCTGGTGGTCAACAGCCAGTTTGATTAAAAATATCCAAACACACACAACAAAACCTTTGCGACAGATGTTAAAGCTTTTAACCAAAAAAGGAAATCCATGTTTTTTGAGCATGTGGCAGAGGAAGTTTCCTAGTTAACACTGATTCATTGTCACTAATATCAATAATACCACTTGGACTAGAGAGGTACATGATATGAAGCACAGTCAAAATTAATACATTAAATCATTGTTATATAGGCAAATTATATATGTAACATTGTCTTAGTACTGTAGTGTCTAAGGCACTTTCTGTAATGTCAGTTTTTCAGCTATTTAAACAAAAAGAACACTAACTACTCGCTGTAATACTGTTCAAAATAAAAAAAACAACAAAAAAAAGGATTCACATCCACTGGCATGTTAACACGTAGGCAGGCAACATCCACCGCTGACCCCCTGTAACCACAGGCTCCACACGAGCCCCACGCTGCACAGTACGGGCGGCCCTGCTGCTCCCGGCAGCTCCCGCAGCAACACCAGGCTGGCTGCTAAGGTGTCACGTCAGCCTCGGCTCAGGGTGCAGCCGCTCGGCTCCATGTCCTGAAGACCAACTCACTCAGCCATAAATTAATAAATTAATTTTGCCTGTGTTGCATGTTTATTTTCCACTGGTGTTCACATTATACTAGCCTTAATATATATACAGATCTGTTGGGCATAGTAATAGCAGGTCTCTACAAACGCAGAAGTACTGTACAGATGAGGAACGGTGATGCTATTTCAGTTTGCCTGTACTGCAGGAACACTAACTGATGAAGCAGGTGCTGAGAACACTTCAAAATGATATTGCAGGTTAAAAAATGGACACTACTCAGTCATCCCTACATTTCCCTCTAACACTTCCCAAGGCCTTTTCACAGTTCACTCGCTGATTGTGTGCTGATCACAACAATTAGGAGAAAAGAAAGATACAGGTGCAGTTTGGTCTTCACTGATCCAACAGACTCAATACAGCCGAGGGCCGTCTGAGCACAGAAGAAATGGAAGGATGTTGTCTGTACAACAAAGCATGCATAGTCATGACAACGGGTCTGTCCCAACCACCTACCCTCTGGGAATGAAGTTTCTGTATTGATAAAAAAAAGTTTCATCCTTCACATGATGCTTTATAAAATGGCTTTACAATGAGTATCTGGAAAATAGATGCACTGAACAGAGACGATCCCATTTTGTTTACTATATATAAAAAAGCAGTTGTACCTATATCTGAAGCAGGGTACAGTATGGTGAGGCTGGAGAGCCTTAAGACATAGTTGACCTATGATAAGTAACCTTGTAGCATGCCGACGTTTCGTAAGGCAGATTTACGGCCACAAGGCAGTTCGGTGGTCAGGAAAGTCCTCCTCCTTCTGCCGACTACTGTGTAAAAGGTCTCTGCATGCATATGGTGTGACGGGACTCTACTCAGCAGGGGCCGGCTGCGCTTCGTTCACATCGCTGCCTTTGCTCTCCACGTCGTCGTCCGAGAGCTCTAGAGAGGCCCCTTCAATGTGCAGCTGGCGTCTCCCGGATCGACTCGAGGAGAAGGTGATGGGGCCCCCCCTCCTGCAAACAACAAGCAGGCAGCGATTGCTGATGGGTCACGTCTCGCTTGCAGCCCGAGTCCCGGTGCTGGTGGCTGCCCCTGAAAGACCTCCCTGCTGAACTGTGGGGGAATGCGGCAGCTCAGCTCCAGGCCACCCACGGGGCACACGTGGTATCTGAAACCCTCCCCTCTGACCAAGGGGTCAACACGCTGTGCACAAACACATCCTGGTACTCCAGTATTCCTGCTTAGTTTATACCGTCGCCTTAATTTGGCAAGTCCCAAGTAACTTAAAATATTGTCTCTGCACAAGCACCAAGTGCAGACCAAGTACTAAACAGAGTGGGTTCTCTAAAAAAATGTATCAACTGCTCATTTGTTAAGCGCTGCACTGCGCCGCTCCTGCCGTTCCTACCAAGCCCACCAGCTCAGCTGCTCTCCCTTGTTGAGATGGTTTTTGTTCTGCACCAGCCTCACCTTTGCTGACTCCCATCTGTACTTGATACAGACCTTGATCTCAAAGGCCTGCTCTCAAGGAAAGTGCTGAAACACTCCCACGCCAGAGTGGGTCAGGAAAAAAGGGATCAGTACCAGCCACTGGGAAAAGCACGACTGAGCTGTCTCTGTCACATTTACCTACGGCTGGATTGAACTGGCAACCCCAGGGAACCTGCCAACGTAAGCTCCAAAGAGTTCAGGCTCAAGAGTTGTCAGGAACATCCCTGTGGTCTGGCAGCTTCTTTGTTATCATCATCAGGCTCAGCAGTTCCCAGCAGGCTCCAGTTTGACCCATCCCCTAACGTTAGCAGCTCTGCTTCCGCAGCGCCACAGCTGGATGCTGCCCAAGGACGCATTGCGGAGACTGTGGGCACACAAGGGCCCGGATAAACCCCTGCCCGCTGCTACTGGTACCGCTTACCTTAGCCTGTTTTTCAGGGTGCTGACCTCCCGGCTCAGGCCCTCGTTAGCCTCTGTGGCGTCATCCAGCTCACGCTGAAGTTTACGTCGGGAAGCATTTGCACGTGTGGCTTCCTCTTCAGCCTCCTCCAGCTGGCGTTTGAGCTGCTTCATTCTGGCATTTGCCTTTTCCATCTAAAATACAAAACCAGGTCGTCAGGATCAAACTCAGCAGCTGCAACCCCACGATTTGGGAGGTCAGAGAGGGTAGCTAACACCCTGTCCTCCCCGACCACCCCGGCTGGAGATGAACCATCAGCCTCACTGCAGACTCCAGTGTGGACTCCTGGAAACACTGCCAAGCTCCTGGGTGTGGGATGCCAGGGTAGATAGTGGACCATCACACCAGAGCTAACACAGGGAGGCTTTGACTGCTGGGAGCTACTCTAGTGGTTTAGTGATCAAGACAGAGTTCCCTCAAATGTTTTCATTAAAATGCTTCTTAATAAGCCCTTTCTACTCAAGGTATGGTTTTATTTGCCTTTTCTGAGAAACAGGCCTCAAAAGCTAAGCCGCTCCACCTACCTGCTCCTTGTACTGGTCTGCGTGTCGACGCTCATCCTCCACCTGCATGAAGACTTCTTTCAATTTCTTCTCTGTACGACGGACCAATTTGTTAGCAGCTGCTCTTTCCCTAGAATAATCAAAAGCCATAATTCGTCCCAGTACTTGAAGGCTAGGAACACGAGATCTGTCCTTTCTGAAAGGCTCTCGCCTCATTGTGTAACTGATACTCGAGTCCTCTTAACATGTCTGCCACCATCAATAGAACCGATGTAGTTTTAGTGTGCTGGTGGTTGGCTGGGATGCAGCTCTGAAAGTGTAAAGTCTTAGCACTGGAGCAGTATGAGTATGGTATGCAGGCTAAGAAGAGAGATAAGAAGGTGCTTCTTCACAGTGAGATTAAACAGAGCAGCTTTAAAGTTATTGGTAACTGGTAACATGAGCCAAAAGCACAAAAAGAATGGAGATGGTGATTAAGACAGCCCACCTTCAGATTCTGGGAGGAACTAGCTAAAATTAAAAATAAAATGTGGAGGACCAAGATGGAAAGGACAGACAGGAAGAGCTCACTGCAGAAAGACTTCTGCAGAGCACAGGATTCAGCTCAACTAACTTAAGCTGTCACGCCTAAGCTGTTCAACTTGCTTCCTCTAACCAAAGAGACCAGGTGTCTCAAGGCGATGTTTTATCTTGTCTCAGGAAACTTCTGCAGCACCCTGTGGATCCTGGGACTACCAGTCAACATATTCATCTGGTTAACTTCAAGAGTTAATTCAGCAGTTTCAGTTACGGAGCAAACAGATTCTGAAACTTTCAATCCCAGTTAACTTTACAGCTGTCTTGTTGAAGTGTGTCCCCTAAACGGTAGGTTTCTAGATACTAAAACCTAATTCCTGTGCTGTAAGGTAAGGTCACATCTCAGCCCTACAAAAACTTAAGGCATGGAGGTTTCAGACATTCAACTGAGAGCAAACACGGGCAAACAGATTTTTTCCTTACTTGGCTTCCTGCTCAAGCTGTTCTTCTAGCTGCACAATCTTGGCTTCTAGAGTAGAAATTGTTGCCTTGAACTTAGACTTCACAGATCCCTCCAGTTCCTGCAGCTTGGCTTTCAGCTCTTTGTTCTGCCTTTCCAGCTGCTGCCGTGCATTTTCACTCTTCTGGGCAGCACTCCGCTCCCCAGCTAGCTCAGAATTAAGTGTGTCAACCTTTCAAAGGAGAAGAATAGAAGATCATTTGGTGCTGTTCAGAGCCTCCACTTAACTGCACACCGAAACACAAATTACCCCAACAGCATTGTCAACAACGGATTCACCTGCAGCGTGGTCTTTCGGAACCGCTCATTGAGAAGCTCCATGTTGCTCTGCTCTTCCTCGAGTTCTTCCTCCAACTGTGCGATACGAGCTTCCAGCCGGCGCTTCTCATCCAGCAGCGCTGACCTAGAAAGGAAGTATTTGGGTCAAGACACGTTCAGATCTGATACAAAACAACCAGCAAGTTTGCTTCTGATACTTTAGGCATTGCAGATTGTCATGAGAAGCCACTGTGTCAGCAATTCTCTTCATAACAACAAGTAATTTTTATCATGAAGACAGATCAATACAGAATTTGCAAGCAGACTACGGAGAACTACAGCTTCTGGTGCCTTAAGTTCTTCAAGATGCACAATTAATACATTTGATGACTCACTTTCCCGAAGCACTGTTTGCAATCTCATCAGCCAGCTCATCCCTTTCTTGCTCAGCATGACGACGGGCTCTTTCAGATGCAGCAAACTCCTGCGAAGGTTTAGGAAAAGATTCATTACAGCATTAGGAATCTCAAAACTTCTGCAAACAATTTAGGCCTCTAGTAACACTTCAGAGCATCTCCCAGAAGTGATATCCCTGAGGATAAATGGATAAGCAGAAGCCACAGCTGTGGAAGCTAGCAGGACACATCATCTTGATATTTGCCCCCCTTAACTGCCATATGACTACAATGGATTTACTTCTCCCTGGCCCTGAAGTGTTCCTTCCACAAAGTTAAGGAAAAAAAAAAAAAATCTGTGAAAAATCAGTAACATTCAAGCCCTAAACAGCAGGAGAAAACCATTCTGTCACATGCTCTAATAAACGCATTCAGTGTAAAGTGGGCACTAAATTAATTAAATTTTTTAGGTTTTTACAGAGTACGTAGCATGAATGCAAGCAAAGTATAGAAAATAAAAGCTTTAGCACAATAGTATAAAAAGCACTGAATCCCATATTATAAAACTGTATTATGTGGTAGAAACACCCAGGCATTTGCTAAGAAGGACAATTAAATACACTGCAAGTGCAAGACTGACAAGTTTGAAGTCCACAAAAGAGTGACATGGAGAAACTCTAGTAAGTCGCAGGTTATCTGCAAAGGCTCAAACAGTAAGTGTAGCGAAATCTGAGCGATTGCTTCAAACTTTGGTCTGTAGCTAATACAGGACAAAAAGAGGCAGTCTCTCACACAAGGCAATTCTGCTGATACTTGACCTTGTGGCAGACCAAGGAGATAGCGGGAGGTAAGTGATACGTAGCAAGACTTAGAGCTCTTACATGAATTGCCATCAATGAGGGAACACATGCCCAATAGAGCAAGGGATGAGGACCTAAGATGGCAGAGTGATAAACCTCCACAGACTTAAATGGTCCACTGAGGTACTGGGGAGGTTGTTAGGTTTTTATATATTTCCAATAATCAGTTTTAGTACTGACACTCAAACCTCCTTGCAAATTTTAATGAGGCCTCAAATCTGTTTAAGCAGTAGTAAAGCTTTTCCTGCTACCCAGGCAGGGAAACGAAGTCCAGACTACTGGAATGATTCCTACAAAGCTATAAGGAGCTCACTAATGACCTGGGGCAGGGGGGAAGAGAAAGATCTCCAGGCTCCCATTTCTTTATTCAACTCACTAGATTGCTTTTTACTACTTTTTTTTTTTTTTTTTTTTTTTAACTTTTTGTTTTTCCCCTTAGTCTAGCAAGAAAAACAAAATTCTTGGATTTCAATCTCACCTCCTGGAGCTGGAGTATTTCTGCTTCAAGACCTTTGAGCTTCTTTTCACTCTCTTTGGACTGTGCGAAGATCTCATCTCTGGATGCACGGGCTTCTTCCAGCTCCCGCTGGTAGTCTTTCATTTGAGCCTGCAGTTGGAAAGCAGGGAAAAGAAAAAGCCATGATGCATTAGGACAACCACAAGATTTATTAGTGGCTCTGAAGCATTTTGGCCCTTAAGAGGTAAGTTCTTCCTCCCAGAGTGGCTTAATTCCACTTAAATATAATTTTCAGTTCTTATTTTCATAGCAAAACTTCATTTTCTCATCTTTCCATCACTCATTCCTCATCAGAAATATTCCATTATAAGACTCCACTTCATTTATCAGTATATTTCTTGTAGGAAAAAACCTCTAGTAAAGAGCTGCTCAATTACATTTATCATGAAACTTGTGGAGCTGTAATGCTCTTGGAATTGACTTGGGGGGGGGGGAATCTATTTACTTAAATTGACTGATAAAACCTATTACAAGTATGCAAGGTAAGAAACTGCTCAGTGTAGAAATAACACGATTCACCATTTTGCACATATAATGTAGAAGCACATACTTCTCCTTCCCTTAGGACACTTAACACAGACTGAGATCTTAATTCACAGGAGTGACTTGAGATGCTAAAAGAGTCATAAAGTTGGAGAAACTGCATTTAAGTCGTACCTGCATCTTTAGAATACCACCAGTCACGAGACCACTTATTTCAGGTGCTATAGGGAAGTGTACAGCACTCAAGTATGAACTCTCTAGCTGTCCTGTCCTCTGGGAATAGAGGACAGCGGGATACTGCTAGGTACCAGCATTTCTTGCTTTAACCTACGTTCCGTTCTCATTCAGCACCTGGACTCAGGTGCCCTCATTCAGCTGAAGTAGGATTTGAAGTAGGATTGCCAAGGAATAGAGCGGACAGGGCAGAAAGGCAGTTTAATTTGCCATGTGCTTTACATGGTGTTGCCATGGCCTCATACTCCTGAAGCTTTGGGCCATGGCACTGAAAATCTTTGGCAAAACTGAATTCTACCAGGTGTTGAATATTTTTCTGGGAATGGGAAATAAATCCTTGACACAAGTACTGCGTTTTTCTTGCCAAACTAAAAAGAATGGGCATCTTGGAACTTTTTAAAGCAACTAAAACTTAATCCTCCTTTTTCTCTGGAGCGTTTTTGGGTGAAAATGCCTTAAAAAGTTCAACTTGAGGAAGCAGCAGTCAGCAAGAGCAGAGCTCAAGTCAGTAAATTCAGATACAAACAACCATAAATTTAAAAAATGCAGCCTAGAAAGCAATACTCAGTAAATCCTTATGCAAAGTGTTGAAATAAAGAAAAAGATGACTATCGAATAGAAGTATTTGGGGGACAATCTTAACTCCTTACCGAGAAAATGATGAGAGGAGTTTTGAGCAGGTGATAAGTTCAGGCCAGATACTCTATGACATATGTCAGCATAGTCAAATCTGATACTCCTCTTGCCTTCAAGCTACAAATGTATTTAATGAAAAGCAACACCCTTGACAGACTGTCACCAGGAGAGAAAGCAGCTCAGTTGATTAGCTGTGCCTACCTGGAGCTTACGTAGCTGTTTGATTGCTTCATCTCGAGCCTTGTTTGCAGCTTCTATCTGACCTTCCAGGTCTTTCAGATCCATCTCCATTTTCTTCTTGGATGCCACAGCAAGAGCCCTCTGTTTGCGCTCATCTTCCAGTTCTGCCTCCAGCTCTCGCACCTGTGAAATCAAGGCATTTAACAGGCTCAGTTCCAGGAATGGAGCAAACAATCCTAACAAAATGGTTGGTGAATCCAAAAGGCCTTTGCGGAGCAGAATTAACAGTACTCGATTGGAAGAGACTACAGAATGCAAGCTACATGGGAAGACACTGCAAAAACAAATCCACAGATTGGAAGCAGAGATCTATGAACTGACAAAAAAGGAAAACAAAGACAATAACTCAGCATCTGAAGCATTTCCATTTCATCTGTACAGCTACTTAGTGATCAGCTTCTTGCCCAGCACATCTATCCACATTTAGGTATCGCTCTAGGGCAGATGTCACTAATTCTGATTGAACCACTACGAGGAAAATGAGAAGTAGAATCACCTCATTTCCTCAAGAAAGAAAATGAAATCATTCCCTTTGAAACAGCTGTGCTACTGGCATTTATACACCAACAACTTTTTTTCAAAACAAAACAGAAAAGTATCTAAGCAGCAAGGCAACACGCACTAAGCTAAACCTATGCAAAAATAAAACTGAGCCAGAAATGCCACAGGTTACCAACATGAAAGAATATATTTTGTTTTGAAGCAAGCCTCCCTCCTCATGGTAGGGCAAGAGCTCTTGTCCAGTGAAAGACAATAGCAATTTGCATTTGCAGCGAGCTTCAAAAGCGCTCCAGGCCATGTTTATTTCTAAGAGATCTCTATATAGGTGATTCTTAGTAACTGCACATTTTCGTTTTCTTGTAATAAATCTTGATGTGTTTTTTTCCTGTCAAAGTTTAATGTTAATTTAGAACCATCTTCTCTTACAAGCATGAAATTTTAAAGGCATTTCTTGAGTCTTTTCTGATCTGCTTCATGTTACTAGAATTCTCAAGTCTGGCAAATCTGGAATCTTTGCCACGATTTTCATTTAGAAAACTGTTCACTTACAGTCTTTCAGTTTATCTCGGCATCCATGGATTTGTTCCTGTAATAGGATGGGCTTGAAAGTCCAAATAACATACCCCTGTCCTTGAAATACACCCACGCAGCAATAGCCAAACCTCTGCTTGCATGTTGAGTGTTTTTTGGAGGACCATCAGTAGCAGACTAGCACAACAGTTGACAGTGGCCAGTCCTCAACAAGACCTATTCTATTGTTTGTAAACATCAGTGCTTGGGATTTCTATAGGATGGGATCTTTAAGCAAAGAGTTTTATTTTTCTGGTAGCAAGTTTTGCCAAAGCTCTGTGGCTTCGGTGATAAGATCCCCACCCCCTTCCCACTGAGGTACAGTAAAATAGACATACTTGTTTAACCAGCATCCTCTTTTTCTCTTCATTCTGTTCATCTCTGGCTTGCAGATCTCTCTCAAACTGGGCTTTCATAGCTTGCATGTTCACCTCCAAACGAAGCTTAGCATCTTCTGTGGCCTGCAGTTCATCTTCCAGTTCCTCAAGCTGAGTCCTCATCTCTTCAACCTGTTGCTCTAAAGTTCTCTTTGACTTCTCCAGTTCATGGACCTAAGCCACAGACATTAATCAGACCCTCTCCTTCAGGTTTCTCAACATCAGCAGTTGTTAACAGCAAAATAAGACATTATACGAACTCAGTACACTACATTTTGTGATGCTCTGAATTGGACAATGAATCAGAACAGGCAGAGCAGCATCTCTAAGTCTGTATTAGAGAACCCAAACATCTATGCAGATGATTGGAGATTAGCTGTGCAATGTCACAGAAAAAAAGTAGTAGTGAGACAAGCTCTTAAATCTAGCGCAGGTGCCATTAGTCGTTTGGCCAGCAACTTCTGCTCTCCACGTCTTCACATCTTTTGAAGAGCCCTGATGTTAATAAAGACCACCCCCTTATTCTGAGCATTAATTTCTCCAGAATTTTGGCTTATAAATCACAGCTTCAAAAAATTCTATTTTTGTGTCAAATATACTTCTCCAGCCAGGGAGTTTTCCTGTGTTATTCCCTATGCAGTATATAACAAAACTGTGTGTGGAAATGTACTTACATTTTTGCCCACATCATCTTTAGAGCTCATTAAATCTTCCATATCTGTACGCAACTGTTTGTTCTGTCTTTCAAATTCTTCCTTAGCTTCCAAGGCTTCTTCCAAAGCCCGAGCCAGAGACAGTGCTTTGGTTTCCTTCTCCCTTGCTTCTGCTTCAGCACGATCTCTTTCCTCTGCATATCTGGCAGAAATGTTCTTTTCTTCTGCCAGCATCTGAACATAAGAAATAATTAATCCATCTCTTAAGTTCTATAATCAGGTCCTTCCTGCCTCAGGTGTTTTGGTCAATGAAGTGGTTAGTGCTCTAAGTTTAATTGGCCTTCAGAAGCTGTCTAGTCTCTCAATCTTGATCAAAGTGCTAGTAAGAAAACAGCTACAGCTAACTCTGGGATGAGATGAGGAAAGCAAGCTACTAATCAAGATTAAGTAAGTTTTACATTATTTTCATCTTTCAGTCTTTGCATCCTTTCTTAGTCTATCTTGAGGCATTTCAATAATACTCTTAAGTTTTTGTTCCAATATAATTTCCTTTTTGTATATAAAGAGCTTACTATTTGATCTCACAAAACTCAAAGCTGGCACTTAGCTCACTGAAATTATAAGTGACAAGTTACTCTTAACAAAGGCCAAGCTGCTCACAAAAGATTTATCAATAACCACAGTACTCTAGTCAAACCCTTCTTTATACAAGGCTCATTTATGCAGTAACAATATAAGCAAGATGCCATTTAAAAAAATCGTAGAAAGCAGCAAGATAACAGCAACTAGACTACCTGATCAAACTTCTTCTGCTTTTTCTCCAAGTTAGAAACAATCTGGCGCTGATGATCTAGATCTACCATCAAGTCATCCAGCTCTTGCTGCAGGCGATTCTTTGTCTTTTCCAGTTTGTCATAAGCCATTGCCTTCTCCTCTAGGCGTTGGCTTAAGGACTCCATGTCCTTCAATAATTTCTTCTTATTTTCCTCCAAGCCTTCAATGGTTCCCAAGTCATCATCTACCTTTTTCTTAGCATCAGCCAACTGAAATTTAATAAAACAAAATAATGTTCATCATTATGATGCATTATTCATGCATCATGAGAAGGAAAGACAGGCATCAGGTCCAAAATACAAAACCAGAAATAGATGTTATTGCTAGCTAAAGTAACGCAAAAATTGTGAGCTAGCAGGATACGAAGTAGGGGAAAGTCCTGCCCATTGCAGTTAGTTGTACTAGTCATTGTTGCAATGGAGAAAGACCACAGGAAATTTTATTCCGAAATCTGTTCTAGCATGTGTGCAAATCACATGACATTTTTCTGAGAGGTTTAGGACACCAATTCATCTCACCTGGAATGCGTAGGCCTTACAGAAGTCCTGCCATTTACAACAGCTTACCTGTGACTGCAAAGCGAGCATCTGTTTCTCCAAGTTCTTTCTGGCCTCCTCTTCCTCTTCCTGCTGCTCTTGCAGGTTGTTCTTCTCCTCTTCAAGCTGCCTAATCCTGCTGCTCAGGTTGAGTTTCTGACGGGTTTCTTCCTGAAGCAGCTCCTGTTACACAAACAGGCATATTCAAAGTTCAGTTTGGTTCATAGCGTGTTAACTGTGGCCTTGGGCTACCACCCTCCATTACTCTATATGGAGTTTCACGTTTGATTATTTTTTCTCACAGCATTTTTGTACAAGGACATGCTTATGAAGACATCTGTAATTTGGGTTTTCAAAAAGGCACTCCTCATTCATTTTGGGCACACTTAAACCTTTATAAAGCATATTTCTGATCAGGGAATCCATGCCACTGTCTGCTCTAGGAGTTAATGGATGATACTTTTCTGTCTTTAAAGGGACGAGCACAGAAGTCACCTTCAAACTATTTTTCTTCTTCCAGACAAGCATATAGAGTCCCCATTTTAAACCACCTGGGAAGAATATATAGCACCAAATCCTGCAATGGCAGCATGCTTCCAAGTTTTGCTGCATTGCTTAAATATAAAGGTCAGTTTAAAGATAGCTGTAATGTGGCAGGGGGAAATTCCACTTCCGTCATAACGGAAACTAATAAAAGGTATAACCACCCCCCTCCTCCATCCTGTTCCTCACAGACCTCTCCAATTGTGATTAGCATTATTCAAGTAGTCATCATTAGCATTTTTATACAGGGGAAAAAAAGAGTATATTTGAGTGATGAATACATGCATAAAGCTGCATTGTTTAACTCAAAAACAAACACTGGCAGTTTTAAGAACTTAAGCTGTCAGTAAAAGACAGGGTATTGTCCCTCATGCCTTTCATATACCCCAAGGATTTTATTTACATTAATGTTCTACTTGGAAAGTTGTTTTTTTTTTTTTTTTACTTAATACTTATCTCCCACAGAGACTAAGAAATAAGAGAAACTTAAAGGCTACAGTCTATCAAGTAGTGAATCTTAGATAATGAAAAATGGGCTCCACATGTAGCTGAGCAGTCGTTATCCATTGCATTTCACTAGACTTCAATAGGAAATACAGCTTGTACCCAAGGGACTTTCCAAACCATGAATGAAAATGTATTTTCTGTTATGCAGTTAGCATTTCAAATGAGGAACAAAGCTTCAGTGCAAAGTTCAAGCTTCACTGCCCACACACCTGTGTATCCTGAAGCTGAGATTCCAAACTAGCCGCATCCTTGGCAAACTTAATGCCTTTCTTCTCTGCTTCCTCCAGGAGACTTGAGACATTATCCAACTCGTTCTGCAAAGCAAGCAGTCTAAAGGTAACAGCACGCAGCTGACTCACGGCAAAGCCTACGTCCCACTGGGAGCTGGAACTGCAGAACACAAAACCTCAACAACTTCCAGGTATGGCAAGACAACAATAGATCCCAGTACAGAGATACAACAAGCTAAAAATACTGAAGTTTGGTTAGAAACTTGAAGTTGGATGTCAATCTTGAACTTAAGGGTACAACATAACAAGAGTTAGGTATGCTATTTAGCAGAGCATGTCATTCCAATATCTGCATTCATACTCAATGCTATTTTTAATTATAGGACCATAGATTTTACAGGACCATTAATTCAGGGATTATCAGGGTGGCAGCTGGGTTTAAAGCATCACCACAAGAGAAAAGGTTACTGTCAGGTGCCAACTATTGCTATTTTAGGCTATGCTACTTGTATATAGAGTGACAGACTGCCCAAAAGCTTCCTCCAAAAAGAACTGGGCCGTTCCCTTTTTGAAGCACTTTAGCTTGATTTACCTAAAGTACTTGTTGCTGTGGTTTAAAAGCCAGCCCTGATGTCATTTTGTCCATTTTCTCCATTTCCCAGAAGAATAGGCCTTTACTTGCAATCCCTATCTGTCAAGCTCCCAACCTTGAAGCACTAAAGAAAACCTGTGACCATCATCAATCAGTACAGTTTTGCTCACACCTACAAGTGAACTCAGCCCAATCTACTCAATTCCATATCCAAGCCAAAAACCCGTAGGCCAGCTGTCAGCAGAGTCTCCTACAGGATTTGGTCTCTAGGATGGGAAGCCATGTACTTAGAAGCCACTGTAATTCTCACACAGCCCAAAAAGTTCAGGATTAATGTCATGGCTGTCCAGCTATCTCCACCTGAGGCACGCCACCACTTTAAGGCCCCTCAAGTACACGAGTGCATGACTGAGATCACGTCCCACATCAACTACAGACCCAGTTCCTGTAGACCTAGCTGCATCTTTGAAAAGTCATTTCTCCTAGCCATTTCTACATTAGTTAAGGCTTTTACTTTCTTGCATATTTTTCAACAGTTTAGGACTTCCATACAGCCTTACCTGCAGCTTGTTAGCTTTCTCCGCCAGTTCCACCCTCAGTCTTTCTCCTTCTGTGACCTTAGCGGTTAGCTCTTGTACCTGAGCATCGAGCTTCTTCCTTTTATGTTCAGACTCTGCCTTGACCTGCTGCAGTACCTTCACTTCACAGGCTAACTCCTTGTTGTCAGACTCTAGGCCTTGCTTGTTTTTTTCAAGATTTGCTTTGAACTAGGAAAAACAAAAGGAAAGAAATTCAACACTTTGTTACATATCAATACAGTTTTCTCCTAAAAATATTCAGTCCAGCAAATCAGGTTTACAAGTTCAAAGATAAAACAAGTGCTCAGCCAGTTGTAAGTAGGGAGTGTTTAAAATGCTGCCATGTAACATTCTGTGTATATTAGCCAAAGACTAAGTTAATGCAAGTTATTCCACTCTAAGATATCACACGTAACAGTGAGGACCAGAAGATACTTCTACGAATTCAACAAGATCTGGGATGGCAGTGCTGTAAAATGACTGTTTGAGTAGCACTGTAAGTAGGAAGGAATGTGCCCATTAACAGATCAGCATGGCTCATCTCACAGAAATAAAAGGAAAGATATCAACTAAAGCTGCCCTGATTTTAGTAGGCGTAGCAGCCTGGAAGTGCATAACAAAGCACTTTTCACCACTGCACTGACATTTGTCAAAAACCTTTTTAAAAAAGTAATAATTGGCATAAGGGATGTTTAAGTGCCATTCTTACTATATCACTAGAACTGACATCATCTTATCACAGGACCTTTGTCTAAGATTGCAGGGTATTTTTCCATCTTTTCATGCTCTTATTGAGAATATTTAATGAACAAGGAGCAGAAGACATGCATAAGATCTTCAGGTGAATAAACTATAATTTCCTCCAGCTTTAACTACTATGTTTCTCACTTAGTATTTTAAAGTAAGGAAGCTCGTGAAATATTCCCTACATAAAAATATTACTACAGTATATGAACTGTCCACACATACATTTGTGAATGACCAGAACTATAGTTTCACAAATTAAAGATAGGGTTTTTTTTCGGCAGTGTTGGAATAATTCTACTTTTGAGCAAGACACTCAAGCTACACCAGTAGGAACCATGCTATCCAGGTGTCCCCCCTCCTGCCTGCTCTGGTGGTGGTTACCAGAGAACAGAATACAGCTGTGCAAGTTGGCAGGATACTCCACAGATTTCTAGCACTGGAGGTCACAGTACAAGCATGAAGTTAAGAGGGGCTGGAAGAACTTTTACACTACCTGTACTGACAGTCTGTTATTTGTGAGTGCTGACATTACAATTACCGTATTTGGAAGCATTCTGCAGTTCACTCATGCAGAGAACTGCTTTTCACCAAATAAGCACGTGGGCTGCTGGAGAATTCCTACAGAAGTACTACATGAATTTATCTCTAGGTGCACCGTTTCCAAGTTTAATGAACACTTTTCAGATAGATGCCAAGACTGTCTAATAGTTGCAATATATTCAAAGCAGCAGGATATATTTGATCCAACTGCGATTGTTATGCATTTATAGAGGACAACGTAGATCTGCAGATATCAGTGGAAGGGACCACAACACTTGTTAGTTATAAAAAGTCCTGAAGCAGAAAAATGTATTTCTGTAATTCATTTTCTTCTCACCCTTTTGGCCTGTTCAAGTTGTTCAGAGAGCTCTTCCAGGGCAGTAGCATGCCTCTGCCTGATTTCCTGGATCTGTGCTTCATGGTTTTTGGTTTCCTCTTCAATTGCTTTCTTCAGTTCAGCCACCTCCTGCTCTCGCTTTGTCCTAGAGAAAGCATCAATGGTTATCAAAATCAACATTTTAGTCTTTTGTAAATTAAAGACGAATTTTAATGGTGCCTTCTTACACAGACATATGATCCTACCTCAGCTCTTGCTGTGCTGCAGTGGTATCCAAGGTATCTTCCAGTTCAGTTTTTAAAGCCTCCAACTCTTCACTTAAATCTCTTTTCTGCTTTTCCGCCTTGTTGCGTGATGCCTTCTCAGATTCAAGATCCTCCTGGAGTTCTGCAATTTGAGCCTGCAACTCTCTTATCACTTTCAGTGCATTGTTTTTCTGAACTGCTTCTTCATCACCTCTGTTAAACAGAGGCACAACAGTTAATGACATTTCGTAGCTTCAGATCTGTTCTTGTAACAGTCTAGTGTTATTTAAATTATGTACACAAATAATAACTCAACTTTCCCACTAGAATAAAATAGACCTTCTAAAACTTCATAGACAGAAACCCACTACTGCACTGTTATTCTCAAGATCCTAACAAGCACAGCGCCCCAGGTACTACTACAGATGCACTACTAGAATGATTAAGCTTTCAAGTTTACATTCAAGTATTCCAGCTTTGTAGATCTCAACATTGACCTAAAAAATGCACCCTGTCTGTAGAATTTTCTCTTCCCGCAAAATTATGGATCATTACTCAGAAACTACAAAAGGTGTTTAGTTGATACCTGTGGCTGCAAGACTACCACACAAGTCTTTCAATGATTGAGTATGACATACGTTATCAAGTACTTTGACCATTAAGAAGGCTGAGAATTACATGTTTTTTCCCTCCTGAGGCTGAACTCTGGGAGACTAAAAAAGCTTCCAGAGCCCAAATGCTATTATACTCTGATGAAACATTGGTTTTGGAGCTTTGTAGAGCAAGGATACTGATAAAACACTAAATTCCTCTTTTGCCATGTCTACACACAGCACACAGGTGTCTAGAGATGCTCTAGAAACGTGAATTGGCTTCTGCTTTAACATTCCCAGTCCTAACTGATAAGTTTGCAGTCAGATGAAATTCTGTATGGGAAAGTAGGTTTCTACCACACTTCCGTAATCATAAGCCCCATCATGCTCTGACCTAGCAAGAGCAGCCTGCAGTTCTTCCTCTTTCTTGGCCAGCTGGATCTTCAGTTCTTCAATCTGGGCTTGCAGCTCAGCTATTTGGTCCTGTAGATCTGTTGTTTCACCATCAAGTTTTCTTTTAGCTTTTTCTAATTCTTGACGGGTCTTCTCCTCCTTTTTTAAGCGCTCTAAGGAAGCAAAGAATTATATGCATAAGGAATTTTTTCTGTTGTCATCCTCAGAAGGTTCAGGGGCAGGGCAGTGGGGTGGCAAGAAGGGTGGGAAGTTTAATATATGCTGTGTCAATTCTTTCTCCAGTCTGCAGCTGGAAGGGTGACTGGGAAAGCTGCAATAGCAAAGTAGGACTGTATGATTTAGATAGAAAGTCAAGAGAAAGTCAATTACTGGAGAAAAAAAGTGTGAAGTAAGTGAACAGAAACATAACCTCATCTTGATAGAAAATAAGGAATGGGATCTAAAAGAAGAGCAGTTTGAGCTGCTAGGCCAGGTGATCACAGACATCAGGATTCAAAAATGAAGAACAACTACGGACTGGAAAAAATGATAGCTTGCATAGTTTTGGAAGGGCTAGGCTAGACTCCAAAAGGTCTACTGGAAAATAGTATCGCTTAAAGAAAACTTGGATAAACCACTTTTGCAAGTATCTGTGCCCACTAACTCACATCCCACTGATGTTTAGCAAGACTTTGCAACCCTGGTAGCTTCCAGTGATTTATTTGTGTAGCCAAGATACCTGCCCTAAGGTATCTCTTTGTGAAAACCATCCAGTTATCAGTGCCATAGCAATAAAATATATTTAGGTGATCTGCCTGTTGTCTGATTAAGATAGTTACTGGCTGCATTGTTTACAGTTAGCTAATGACCAGGTATGTAATATATTTAAGACACAAGAGGGTTTTGCTTAGCATAGCATTAGCACAATTCTATATGGATTAACATAAATGTAAGTTATTAGACTTGCTCAATACTTTGTGGGTCCTCAGTGAAGAGATTTCTCTCACACCCTTCCTAAGCCTGCTACTGGATCGGGACACCATCTTCTACACAGAAAGGAAGCCATGTTCAAGAATCATCTCTTAGAGCCACCCAGGGCTATTTGGGATTTTCCAGACAATCTAAAGTAACACTGTTTTTCTCTAAACAGTTCCTCATTCAAAGAAAATAGCACTTTTCCCTCTGTTTTTACATTATATTTCTGGTGAGTGACAGTTAGAACAGTATCATAAGACCCAATTTTGTAACTGAGAAAGCTCATCGTAAACTGAATTAGTTTCCCCCCCCCCCCCCTAAACAAAAATTTTTCCCCCCCCCCCCCCCAAATTTCAATACCTAGCAGTGCCAAGACCCTAGCAGAGAGACCTTAATGGCTTCTTGAATCATCTCAAATAGTAAATATCATTTTACTGTGCTTTACCAGCCAAGAAATCCTTATATTTAAGCTTTAATTTCCATTTCTAAGGTCATTGGTCTTGGAACAGTACCATAACCAAATACATCTGTCAAGTATCTTCAGAAACACTAGTCCTGATTGATAGTCCACAACTATTCAAGCATTATTTTCCAGTGAGTAAAGCTTACTCATGCCCATCTTAAAGTCTCTGAATATGATTTTTAAAGAAAAGGTACATCAATTACCTACTATCCCTGTTAGTTTAATACCTTCCTATACAGATAAGATTAAACTTTGGTATTCTTCCATAAGCACATCAGTTTTAAGATATGCAGCAAGACAGGAATAATACAGTAAGTGAAAAAACTATTTCCAAATTAGGGCACAGAGAGCAACTTTGCCTTATATTTTGCAACTTTAACTTGGCAGTTTATTAATGTTGCACAATAGCTAATTACAGCCCTAAGTCATTAAAAAAAAAAAACATAAAATCAAGAAAGGTTACATATAGGGCTAGTTTAGCCTGTGACAACACAGGCAAAACAATCAGAAATAAATGGCCAAAGAAATTGAACCATTTTAGATAAACAAAGCATTAAGAAAAGCAAAACAATTCAGATTTGCTTATTCAAAAAAATATTAGAAGCCTAATGAATGCCTACTAACATTCTTCTAGAAATACGTTGTTCAAATGTGTTATTATAGAAAAGTGTCGCAACTTCCCAGGAGACAGATGTTTTACCTTGTTACTAAGGGATGCATGCAACAACATGAATTTCTGAATGTGTCTATAAATGAAATGGATTCTCAAAAATGAAAAACAAGTAAAACATGAGAAAGACTGAGCAGCCAAATGCAACAAGTCTTGCAAGCAACACAAATTTCTTTCAAGATTTAGATAAAAATAACAGCTTTTAAAGTATCTACATATAAGGTTACACTTAGCAGACTGGACCAGATACTGCATACATTGTAATAAGTGATCCATTCCGTTCTAGCGTGACGTCCAAGCTGTTAATACGCAAATGTAGTAAGAACAAACCTTCCAAATCGGTGATCATCATTTCCTGCTTGTTCTTGAGCTTGGCCAAGTTTTTGGCCTTTTCTTCTTCTTCAGCCAGCTGAGAAGTACATTCAGCAATTCGATCCTCCATCAGCTTCTTTTCCTAGTTAGGAAAAAGGGAAGAAAGAGTAACTTCTAAAATACAGTTTGAAGAGTCACTAAGCAGCACAAATAACTGAATATACAAAATCCATACAGAGGTCTCATACAGCACATATAATACAGATTTTATTTCAAGTGACTGACCTGTCAATATTAAGGATCAATTGCAATAGTACAGAAACATGAACATTTGTTTTCCAAGAAAGTCAGACTTGGAATTTAACACACAGGAGGCCTGGTTTTAGGACAGCACTTGCTGTACACTTTTGGAAATCTGTTCGCAAAGAACAACAGTAGCTGTGATCAACACTGCTTCCAGCTCTTAGATTTGGAAGACTCATGAAATTGGAAAGAATGCATGGCAAATACCTCCCTTTTAAAGGTCAGTTTAAAAGAAGCTCTAAGTGTCTCAGCTTCAACCTGTTCAAACCCCACAAGTCCTCAGGCGCAAACTCTATAGATAATGTAACAGCATAACAGCAGTCTCAAATGTTTTGAGAGCTATCACTTGGTACTACTATTACTTATGTGCAGAATCTCCACCGCACATACTGGTCTCACCTTCAAAAATTTGGAATTTTGGTCCTCCAACAGTAGGATCTCTTCCTCCATCTTCTTGATCTTAGCTTCAGCTGTCACTTTTTCAAGCTGCAACTTCTGTCGGGCTCCCTCCTCCTCATCAAGCTGTTCCTCCAGGTCCTGGGAAGAAAGGCAATTGCATCTGTGCATTTTCCAGGTTACCCATGTGGGGTTTTTGTTTTGTTTTGTTTTTTTAATATTGGTGAAAAAAAGCATTCTTTTGAAAAGCCACCTGCCCTAACTAACACTAAGAACGCATTCGCTTTTTGCTAGATTCATTTATATCAACGATCTGGTAATGAAATTAAGGGCCATGTGACACACGTGGAATTTTTTATACTCTATTTCAGCTTTGGCTGAAAAATGCTGTTTAGGTAACATACACTCACTTCACCAGAGTCTTTCACCTTCTTAATTCTGAACATAAAATTAAAAAAATCTACTTAATGACAACCAAATCAGGCTTTATGTCAAATACTTCCTGGCATACTGCATCTGAATAGGGCATCTGGTGTAAAAGCGCAAGCGTCTGGGAAGAGACGCCACAGGAAACAGATCTGATTTCAGTATGAATCTAGATCTCAATATTACAGCTGAAATGGTTCAGATACTGCCACAAATAGCTAGATATGACTAGAAAAGTAATTATGTATTGCGCTTCTATTCATTCACAGTTTTTAATAAGGTTCTCAGCCACACATTAATGCACACTTATTAAAAGGCATCAAGGGCTCTGAGATGTGGAGTTTATTTCCCCTTCAAGTGCCTTGAATATTTTGAAAGATAGATTAAGTTCTCAGGTACTCCCTTTTTTCAAGGTCTTCATGCATTCAAAAAGGAAGCATCTAAATCATCCGATTTTCACAAAAAAAATCCCAAGTAACTTGGAGGAAATGAAGTTGTCTTAGTATCGTAAAAGTCAAAGAAAGAATATTCTTCATGATATCCACTGGATTTCAGTCAAAAAGGAACATTTCTCTCATAAATGACATCATCCCATCAGTCTTTGTTTCTGTAAGAAAGCAGGTAAGCCTCATGCAGTCATTCCCAGTTCCTCCCCCCTCAAAAGTGCTTGCTACCTTTAATACTCTATCTGCGTACGCTATAGCTACCAACAGGGCATTTTGACTTTTCTTTTTCTTTCCTCACCCTCATATGCCTGGAGACCACAAGAAGCTGAACACAGGAAGAGAAGAGAAAAAAATTCAATTCGATTTTATTCCACACATGGTGCTAAGGAGCTAAATTCCTCCGTGCCATAGGGATGCTGAGGGAGCTTTCCCATCCTTAACTGTCCTGTTTGCATGCTTTTCCATTTCCAGTTACCAAGAGGCATACCTGAATATGGGCCTGCATTTTCTTTTTCTCATTCTGCAATATTTGGTTTCTTTCCTCTTCCTCCTCAACCCTGGACTCCAAATCATGGAGAATTTCTTCCAACTCTTGTTTTTTGGCAGCCAAGCGAGCCCTCATCTCCTCAGCTTCTGCAAAGAGCTCCGTCTCAGCCTGTAGCTGCTCTGCAAGAATGTTCTTCTCTTCTAGAAGCTGCAAATATACACAAAAGGTAGTAAAGCAGTAAAAATGACATTTCAAAGTCTCTCATGGGAGACTATATGTATGACAACTACAAAGTTACTTAAAGGCCAAGTTCTGCTCCAACTTTTCACTCCCTGGTAAATATCCAAAACCAAAGACTTTTAGCAGAGGGCTTTATCAGTAGTCCAGAAGACACCAGCTTTCATAATAGGGCTACAGCAATTTTCACTCACTTCTACACCCAGTTTAAGGAACAGATCTCACTGCGCCTACCCTATGTGCCCTGTTCTACCAGCAGCAAGAAGATGAGGGAAGTGCCTGTTTCCTGGACTGTTCCTCGCACTCATCCCTGCATAGTGGCAGAGCAGTGGCAGGGGTAGCCGGGCTGAAGCTGGCACTTGGAGTCACTGGAACAGAACTGGAACACATTACTTCTTGCTGTGTAAACCTGATGATAGAATAGAATAGTCCCAATTGGGAGGGACCTACAACAATAATCCAGTCCAACTGCCTGACCACTTCAGGGCTGACCAAAAGTTAAAGCATATTATTAAGGGCATTGTCCAAATGCCTTTTAAACACCGACAAGCATGGGGTATTTGTCCAAATGCCTTTTAAACACTGACAAGCATGGAGCATTGACCACCTCTCCAGGAAGCCTGTTCCAGTGTTTGGCCACCCTCTTGGTAAAGAAAGGTTTCCTAATATCTAGTCTGGATCTCCCCTAATGCAGCTTTGAACCACTCCCATGTGTCCTGTCACGGGATCCCAGGGAGAAGAAATCAGCACCTCCCTCTCCACGTCCCCCCCCTCAGGAAGCTGTAGAGGGTGATGAGGTCTCCCCTCAGTCTCCTTTTCTCCAAACTAAGACAAACCCAGTATCCTTAGACGCTCCTCACAGGCCATGCCTTCTAGCCCTTCCATCAATAGGAACTGATGCTTTGCCATTCTAGATATCCATCCCAGTTCTATCATGTCTCAAAATTACCAGAGTGATAAATACATGTCTGTCTTTACTGACACTCTTTCACTGTTCTTTAAATTGATATCAATGCTACTTATCAGCATAAATTCATTTTCAGTTTTGTCCAATAATTGTCATAACTGCTTCCCCATGTCTTAAACAGCATATGTTCACCACAGAAGTATCCTGCCCTGAAAACGCATCTGAAAAGGAAAATAACACTTCTACTGAAATTCTCCTGTAAGCTAGGAAAGGCCAAAAAAAAAAGTTTAGTTTCATTAACATGATGTTTCTGCATTCCTGGAGGAATAACTCCTGCTATATCTTCCTATTCCAGATTTTAGCAGAGTGTGAAAGGAGTTAGCTCTCCTGATTCACAGTGCTTTTGCTCACAAGCGTCTCCCCAACATGGCTCCCTCACACAGGATATAGCACAATACACATTCTGCAGATCAAAAGCTGATCTTGGGCACAAACCTGTTGATGTTTCCTTTCCATTTCCTCAAGTTCTGCCTCCACTTTTGTCTGTTTTTCTTTCACCTTCATTAGCTCCTCGTCCTTGGCTTGAAGTTCTTCTTCTTGACGAGTGACCTGAAGAAGAGGCTTCACCTGCAAAGATTTGAAATGAACAAGTAAGAACCTGCACCTACCTATTTACAAAAGTCAAAGAAAGTAACAGAATATAACAAACCTTCGTGAAGACTCTCCACCACTGCCAGTGCCTAAGCTTTAAATATGCAGCACAATTCCTCTGCAGGATTTTCAGTGCACTCAATTGCTGTTGTTTCTTTGCAAAGGCCCTGAAGACAGAAAGAGCAAAACATTTCATGTTAAATACAGCTGAGTATCTGTGTTTTTAATTTTTAGGTTACCCAACCCTAGAACACTTGCAGACCGTAAACAGGCTTATTTTTAAGTTTCAGTGACTACACTGATTTATAAGTACTCATTCCTTATACAAAGAGGCAGAGCAAGAGTTGGATTCACCATTTTCAAAACAATGATTACAAATGCTATTTGTTCTTACTCTTAACAGACGTTTTTCTTAAAATAAAATGAGGATGGATTAGACACTGAATTGTCCTTTAATTTCAAAAAAGCAGCTTTCCAGAGTATCTCTAAGAGTTTCCAGTAGAGCAGAAAGAAATTTTTTCGCAGCCACTAGCTGTACTGTAAAGAGTTGCACGTGTCACAAAGGGAAGATCAAGGAAAGGAGATATTGCTATGGAACGAAGGTACAAATTCTTATTATTAGGTAAAAATTCACCTATTTACCCTGAATATAACTACAGTTTATCAGGCAACATGCTTTCTTAAGAAAATCTCTCCTGAAATGGAAGTTTTAATGCATAGCTCCCTATCAAAGAGACTTAAGATGACCACAAGAAAAATCAAACCGTAAGAGCACACATACTTCCTAGCCAGGTATCCTCTACAGACTGCCTGGAAGAAGATGATAATGTCTGTGATCTTCAGATCTCGTTCTTCTTCTAGGTGTGCCAAGACACCAGCTCGGAAAAAGATCTTGCTCTGTCCAATTCTGTATAAGTTGGGGTCCAGCTCTAACGCTCTGATCTAAATGGACAGGCAAGCACATTTGTTTTTACATCGAGGATAGGACACGTTTTTGTTTCAACTTTTCAATGTTTTAACAATATATAGGTATAAACACTTACCATACGTTCACAGGCTTGCTTACCATCCATAAAACCTTTTGGAATTGCATTGGGAGTAAGGATCTCATACCTTTAAGTCAAATGAAAAAACACCTTTACATTCAACAATAAAGCTACATTATTATAAACCCATAAAGCTATAGTCATCAAGTGCCCAGCTAAGGAATTCCTCCAGAAAGTTTTTCCAGAAGTCCATTTTAGATTGGTTTCCCCTTCCCTAGTGTCTTTAGAATAAACTTGTAATATTGAAGTGGCTTGAACTTGAAGCAGTTAAAGACCTCACACACGGGTTTGGATTTTCTTCCAGGTGGGTTGGGGGAGGGAGTGGGGGTGCGGCCTGTCTTCAATTATTTAACAAGGAACTTTATCTCAAAAACTCAAAAGACTGTTCCTGCTATTACCTCTGTCTAAATTCCTGGAACACTATCCTGTTTGGAAATCCTTGTCGACAAATCCTTATTCCTTCCAAAACACCGTTGCAACGAAGCTGGTCTAAAACCAGATGTGGATCCAATTTTCCAGCCTGGACAAACAAAACAATACAGATTAAAAGACTGAAAGTCATGCTTAACGAAAAACTGTAGTTTATGTTTTTCAGGCTACCCTCTACAAAGTCAACTGTCTAAATAAGGGGATGTGTGGGGAATACTGAGAAGATATTTGATCAGTATGAAAACTTTGTGAAACCTGGCCTCTGATTTCAAAAGGAAGACACAGACAGCATGCATAACATAAAATGCATGTAAAGACTTTAATAAAGAGAAAGAATTAGAGGAGTGGTCTGTAGTACATACCCTCTTTTCATGATTTGGAATGATGCAGCGAACAAAATTGGGATTAGTGTTTCGGAGCGTTGCCATCAGCTTGGTGAGAGATTCTTTGTACAGTTGGCCAACAGTACGAAACATGCCTTTCTTGGTCTTGTACGCAGAGCCAAAAGCTGTCTCTGTTATTCCAGTGACCTGATCCAGACCCACAATACGATCCACTGGGAAGGACAAGAGAAAATAATTAAGTGGACTTTAATATTTGTCAGGTATAAAGACAGGCAGAAAGAGGAGCAATAGTGCAGCAGCAGAAGCTTTGTGGAACAAATGACAGAAGATGCCATCAGTAGGCAAGGCAGTCAGCATGTACTAGGGACACTGTGCAGAAGCAGTGGAACCAAAAGCCACAAACTTATACAGCAGAATAGTGTAGCTTTAGTAGGTACAGACTAAAATATCCAGCTCTTTACTTGCAGTTCTACATGACCAGGAAAGCCATTTTCTTTATTTTAAGTCAACTTTTAAGAGATAGAAAGTTGCCTGGAAACTGGCAATTATTTGAGTTCTTACAATGCAAAATATTTCTGGGTTGAATATTTGGAATTAGCATCTGTGCATATTTGCTTAAAATGAAGAGTCACTTATGGTAATTACATAGATTAAATCTGAGTTTCATTGCATATTCAAAAGTGTATTGAAAGCATAACTTTTTACATAAGAGTTGGAAATAGTGTTATTTCAGTGACAAGAGGGAAAAAAGTATCTGCCAGACTTCTGCTAGTCTGCTATTTTGAAGAATTCGTCAAAGTTTTATATACAACTGCAAAGACCTCCCTAGCCAAAAAGACAAGTTTCAAAACAGGAAAACTGCACACCAAAGCACTTCAAAGCTGCCATAAAACATCAGAATAGAAATTTTTCTTCCATTTTTTGAACGTTTTGGGTAAGGATCTCTATGGTTTCTTCTTCAGAAGCACAAATTAGAAATCTGACTGCCATCATTAAAACCTTTAGGCCAAAAACATGAATGCAATTTCATGTGCATGTCAACAAATATTTAAACAGCTTGCTAAAAAATAGACAGGTGGCTTAACACCTTAATAATTATAGTTGGCACTTCTTAGTATTGAGCAAATACACAACATATATTGGTTCTCCATGAAATCCAAGCTGGCCAGCCAGAAACAAGCAACTATATGTAGGCTACAATTTAAATTTTGTGAAGTTATCTTTAAATTCAGTCAAACTAAAGCAGAGGGAATTATGCTTTGCTACCAGAATTATTTTGTATATGAGAAATAAGTGACAATATTTTATTTCATACTTGTACTCAATTGGTTTTCAAAGGTCTATAAAAAAAAAAAAGGAAAATTAGAAGCAGAAAAATACAGGGCAACAAGTTTGAATCATCACTTGTAAGTCTTGCATGTAGTATAGAGCAGAGCCCAGATCCTCCACACAGTTTTGAACACAAGAATCTAAGCGGCTTATTAAGTAGAAGAATGAATAAGTAGGTGGTAAGCTGTTCATAAGATCATATCCCAAATATTTACTTTGAAGAAGAATTCAGTTCTAAACCAGAAATGGGGTAGAGATTACTGGGAATCAGTCTTACAGAGGATGAACATAACAGCTTGCAAATATTAGAAACATGCACCCACCAGACACCACTAATGACTGGACACCATTCAGCTTTTGTTTGGCCACATACTTTTTAAAATTTTGTAAATATATCTGTTAATTGTGCATCTTTTGTTTTGCTCCCCTCTGTCCAACTATAATATGGTTATTTATATTTCAACAAGGATTATTAAAGCTAAATGTAAGCCTTCCCTATAGGTTAAGAGCAGTCATTGAACACCATGACTGGACAATCATCCATCAGCTAAAGCCTCTGAACTGAAGCCCTCTAGTAATTACTTCAGGAAACACCACTAGCTTCCTCAGGTATGTGATGTATCATGAGTAGTAGAAGGTAAACCCAAGTAAAGATCAAGAGTCTAAAGGCACAACCTTCACATACACGTACTTCTAAACTTGGGGAGAGGAATACAAGAATACAATGAGGAAGAGGTGGGATAAAATATCTAAAGCGTCTTCAAAAAGACATTCCAAATAAGTGAATTTGTTGATTTCTCAATACCTCAAAAAACGTGTGCAGCTTCTACAAAGGGAAATATTAAAGTTAAGAGGTTTTTAAATAAGAGAACAATTCCAACAAGTCTGGAAGAAGTTTATTTCACTTACTACCCCCACTACAACTGCAGCACTCATTCTGATACTTAAATACATTCTTCAGCTCTCCTCCCGAAAAATACATCCACATTCTAAAACGTTCTGGAGTTTTGTCAATGTTGGACTGCAGAAAGAAGCTTGATAGTGTTACAAAGCTTACGCATTCTCTCAAATGCTTGGAGCTACCAGAATTATCACTTAAGAAGCAATTCTGCATCTCAACATGGAACTAGGAAGCAACAAACCTTTTTATCTGCAATGCTTAAATGCAATGCATAAAATATAGATGCTATATGTATGCAGCAGCAACTGAATAGGTATGCACTCAGAGACCATTTGCCTTGTGGAGGTATACCTAAGTTTAGCATGAAATGAAAAGTTCATGCAAGCCTACGAGCAAAAATGGTTTTCCTGTAGATACAACAGCCCTGCCTTTAGTAGGCCTATTGTTTTTATATCCATTCACCTGGTGGATCATGAAGACCAGTAATATTGTCATAGAAACAGGCTCTCTGAATATTCTGAATCTCTAAGGCAGAGAAACAGCAAAAACAAAGACAGAAGAGCAGATACACAAGACACTTCAGTTAGTATACAGAACAGGTTTATCAATTGCAAACAGACTTAACTGTGCTACAAAAGCAATTAGGCCACAATATATTCCATGCACATTTCAATTATCTGTGGAAGCAGGTTTTGCATATGTGGACCAAAACACTTTAGCTTCTGTGTGTGTACTCAAAAGGAAAGGAGCAGATCCCCAACCAAAAAGTTCTTTATATATTCATTAAAACTGCTCTCTGTAGCTGAACCAAGTAAGTATTCCTGAGAATAAGAGGGAAACTCAGTATTAACCTACAGCATCATCTATATCACAAGATTAATTTCCTCCTGGAATAAGAAACTACAAGATTTATATACTATGGCATGTAAATATACTCTAATTAATATACTGTGATGTTAAAAACTAGAATAGAAAAGTCCTTGTGAGTATTTATTTGGCTATTTCTGCTTCTTAGGGTACTTTGGTAAAAATGTTGATAAATACTTTAAGCTGATGTGCAGGTAGACTAGCTAAACGGCAGTGTACGGTTAAAATAGGAAAATATTGCATTTGATATTCATATGCAATATCTAAGCACTAGCATGGTTGTTAATGAATTTTATTTTAGGAGATGCAGATTTCCAGGATATGACCCACCACTGCACAAGAAACAACTGTGCTGGTGCTTACATAAGACAACATTTTATTAACAGCAAGTACCACTACAGCTGTTTACATTCAGGACTTAACTGCAGCAATTCAAACTACGAGTTTTGGACAAGATTCTACAGATGAAATTTGAGACAGGGTAACAAGTAGTAAGTCTGTATCAGTTCAAATAATGAACATGAGAAGCAGCTACTCAGAAATGGTACATGTGCAAGGGACCATAGGTGCAACCCAGCTTCCTTGTTGTACTTTTGGCGCTAAACAATAGAGAAAATGCTGTAGATATTTACAACGTAGGGGTGGAGGGTGAGGAGGGAACAGGCACAAAAAACCAAACCAACTCATCCAGCAAGGTAAAATCACTAACAACTTGTGTACTGAGAGCATGATCTCTTACCATCCTTCCAAAGCTCTGCAACAAATTTGTCAGAAGACTGGTGCAAGAGTGTAGCCACATTGTCATTCAGGGGGTCCATATTCTTCATCAACCACTCATCTGCCTTGTAGTCTACCTGTAGAGTAGCCAAGTTGCACATGATCAGGTAGACTACCAGCTTTAGTTTTAAGTTTACCAGCATAAAAAAAAAAGCTTTCAAAATACTATACTGAGGTTTTCTTCCTATTCTCTTCTTGATGTTTGCTTGCTATGAGTTTGTTTTGCCTCCTTAGAACAGTTCAAAGGACCATGAAAAGTTATTATTCTTTTGAAAGAGTAAATGGGAGTTTTCTTAAAAATTTAGCAATCTGACTTTTTGCTTGCTAATAGTTGGTATACATTTTCAGCCTAGTATTATTGCCAAAATAAGGCTTCACTGTTCACTGTGAAGATGTAAAAACAACTTCAGTACAGATCCTAATTACTTTATCTAAATTACTAGAGAATAAATTAAGGATGTGTTGCAACATGATTTTTTTTTAAATTTCACTATAGCAGTTATACTTAAACACTGTTCTAGAAACAAAACAAACAAAGCTCTTATCTTAAAGAACCAATTCTGTGGTTTGCAATTAAACTATAGCTCAGCAGTTAAAAACTCAGTGCTACCAGCATGGTTTCATCCCAACCCAAAAGAGAGCCCTAAAATTCCGTAAGTCCAACAAGACCTCTACGTAGGCCAGCATGTTTTTGCTTCAAACAGAGTTTTCTTTTTTTAAATAAGGGCTTTGGAAGGAAAGCCACATTTAAATCCTTCCAGCATCCAAAACCAAATTAGATCATCATCTCAGTACTTCTTGCAGTAAAAGCTATTTTGCAAACGATTCTAGTTTTGAAGGAAATGCACATTCTGATAGAAAATTGGAAAATGCCTTCTGTCGAGGAAGATATGCAATGCAGTGCCAGTATCCCAGAAATGCCCACTCAGTTTGGCAGAAGTAAAGCATTCTTCAGAACAATTACTTTCCAGTAGTCAGGCACCAAGTTGTTTTACTTCATTTTGATTACCTAAAGGTAACCTTTTGTTTCACAACTAATCTACTATTAACTGCAGTAACAGTGATGATTTCATTATTTTTAAGTTACTGTTTTAAATATTGATACAATAAAGTGTATAATTTCTTTATTTCCATTTTTGCTACAATTATCTACTTGGCACCACTGACATCAGAGATAGATAACAACAAGCCATTAGTACTTTAAATGAAAACTAAAGGATGGCTCTTAATCATTCACACAGTTTCTTCTAAGCATCAGGGCAAAAACTGGTACTAGGATTAAGTTTTAACTATTTATGAAATTAATTACACAGCATGGCCCTATGGAATAGACCTGGTGATCATGAAGGTTCCACAAAATGCTGACAAGAACTGCATAGTTATTTCATGGACCTGTTCACACTGCAGCTGAGCTCCGTCCCTCAATGCGAAAATAAAGATTGAACTAACAGTAAAAACAAAAAGGATATCAGCTTACCTATAAAAGGGGATATACAGAAAATCTTATGTGATCTGAGGAGATAAAAGTGAAGAGGGTACTGACACAGCCCTACTTCAAGCACTACTATCAACTTGGAAACAGAAATTTAGAAGAGATTTCTTTCAAGTCCTGAAAAAACTCACCTGTAAGACCTGACAACAAAATTAAAGGAAACTGAAATATTTATTTAATTTAATCTTAATTTATATTTTTCAGTTCTGTTTATTTGGTAACAAGAGCACTCCTGAATATGTTCAAGAAAATGAAACAAGGCCACCCTCCTGTACAAGTATTTCTAAATTTGGTAGCTATACCATGTAGTACTTTTCCCAAAGTTTTCCCAAAACCAACATTTCTAACCAAGTATTTAACCCTTACCTTCCCTGCATAGTGAATAATGCAGAAATCTGCTTTGTCCTTTAGCTGTCTTGGCTTTTGGAACTTGGAGTGGGTTCCTTGCTCTTGGACCAATTTTTCCACAAACGTCTTGTCGGTAGCTTTAGGGAACCAGCATTCTTCATCCAGTAATGCTAACACACCAGGAGGATTTGCCTGAAATCCAGTTGGATTTAATCTGTGTTAATATTTAATATATATATACACATTTTTAATTTTAATATTTAAAACACACCATTGAATGCCACAATAAGAACTTGTCTAAACTGATTCAAATTTGATTTTGATTAAAACAAGCTGTGGGGGAGTCCAGTTCAATGAACAACATTATGACCAGTTCAAACTAATTCATGCCAACGTATATTGAAGCCAGACACGAGTGACCTGATCTAGTGCTGACTAGAGCCTTGCTTTGAGCAGAGACTAGAATAGATGACCTCCAGAGTTACCTTCCAAACATTTCTGCGACACGTATGTACACAGCAGCTCATCCGCATCTCCACAGTAGTTAATGTCATGCTTTAACGTGGGCTAAACTGAAGACAATTATCCCTCCCAGCCACTCGATACTACCGTGGCAGCCACCGAGCCTCCCCTTGCCAAGCCCTGTGTTGATATCCAGTAGCAGCATCCAAAGGATTCAGCAGGCTTAACTTGAGCAGCCAGCATACTTTTATATACTCCCTCTCTTTCCGTACAATTTAAGCACTCCATTTGAAGGTCTGTTTATTCTTAAAGTGAAGTAGGGAGCAAGCAATGTCTGTATTTTGCAGCTGTAGAATTGTTTGACAGGATCATTTTCCTCAGGGAAGACAGACTGATGTACACAGGAAAGCAATGGAAAAAAGAGTTTATAATAATTTATACTTCAAAAGTTTCTAGTGAATGTGAAGTTTACAGATTTGAAGAGAGATGTTCCTATGTGCCTACTACATGGCATCACATTTACAGAACAATTATGAAGGAACTGACAGTTGCTTTTTAAAAAAAAAAAATAATCAAGTAATTTGATGCATTTTAGGATATTCACCTTAACATCTGCATACTGAAAGCATCCACACTTACCCCCTCAGGCTATTTGGCAGAGACTTTACGTTCCAAGGAGGCAGAACTTTCTAGAGTTCCACACACAAAATGCAAACCTTTGATAACTGAAATGTTTTTCTTTAGAGAAGGAAAAGGGAAATCAACAATGTGGCTCATGGGCTTTTCTGCTCTTCAGGATGCATAGCATCATTGGCAGCTTATGTGTATTCTAGAATACACACACAGAAAGGTAGGGAGTAGTAACTGCAATGCCCTAGATTTAATTTAAAAGGTCATAAAATAATTTTGACAGCATACTTCTAAGGTGTGAAGAATGATAACTTTCAGGAATGATGACCTTTGAAGCCCTCTTCAGCTTCCGTATATTGAGTAACCAGAAGAATACATTAAAAAGCACAGTGATTAAAACCACCTTTAAGATACTGCTTTCCTATTCACAAGGCAGATTTATGGGGAACTCTACCCTAAATGAAGTTTCAGAAATTTTGCTATTGATCTCAAATGAAAAAAAAGTTTACCGTAAGTCTGGAAAAGCTTTCTAACTGAGTCACCACTCTAATGCTCCTATAACAATGGCATTGTTTAATATGAAAGTGACAGGACTAGGGAAAAAAAGCAGTAAAATAGTAGCTTAAGTGTTCTACCCTAACATCAGGGCAAAATCCCATAAGGATAAATCATTTTACTAATACATGGTATTTTAGACTTTGGATTTCAGCCTTCAAGTTAATTCACTTTTTGTGACAGCTCCACAAGAAATCTCTGTACAGTTCTACAATTTGCAGGCAGTAAAAGACAAAGCCATAAATGGAACCTCTTCTCCATAGAGCATTATCCATGCACAAACTTACAGGTCTTTCAATTAAGTCAATGCAAGGCTGCAGATCCAGTCCAAAGTCAATGAAATTCCACTCTATACCCTCTCGTTGGTACTCCTCTTGCTCCAGGATAAACATTGTGTGGTTAAATAACTGTTGAAGCTTCTCATTGGTGTAGTTAATGCAGAGTTGCTCAAAGGAGTTCAACTACAAAAATAACATTAGTAAGCAAGAATAATTCAGTGACAGGATTTACCACATATCTGGAAGTCAAAAATTTGCCCTTGCAAGGAAAGTCCCCAAAACTCTGCAACATTCAAATATATTGTAAAGAAAATTGGAAAACGCATTATTCAAATCTCTTATGTTCCCTGTTACATATAATTAAATAATGTGTAGTAGGAAAAACCATCACATATAAAAGAACGATTTAGACTAAGGTATGACTTTTTGGCACTGTAATTTAGGGTTGTCAAAGCATTTGCATGCTACAAAACAAAACCCTCCTGCAGCCTTGGAACATGCATGCATTAAGTGGCTCTACACTTAGTCCTGGACGCACATTAGCAGGGAAAAGAAAAATCTGATTAGCAGTGTTTTGAAGTACCTCAAAGATTTCAAATCCAGCAATATCCAGAATTCCAATGAAAGACGCTCCCTGTCGTTTGGTCCTGTCCAAAGCTTTATTAATGCGGTGAACAAGCCAGCGGAAGAGGCGTTCATAGGTGGCCTTTGCCAAAGCTTCCACTGCAAAGTCTGCCTGAAAATCCAGACAGAAAAATTTATTTACCCTGGAGAAGTCATCAAAAGAACACAGACATGGATGTTATCACAAATAACTAAGTAACAGAAGAAGTTTAATGGAGTTAATACCACTGAGGAATGAAAACAAGCAGTAGAAATAGTATGCAGTTTGATTACTGTTACGAAAAATTTGTTTTTAAACTGTTCCATAAAAAAAACAAAAGCTCTCTGTGCATTTGATGCATACAACAATGACATTAAAGGATGAAACCAGCAGGTCAAGGAAAGGGAAAGGTTTCTTCTGTTCTACCATTGATTTTTACCACATAAGAACATTTAATAAAGATAGTAAGCTTAAACAAAGTCAGTGGCAGTATACACTTAATTCCAATTTTCTTTATTAAGAGCTATTCAGGATGAGGTACAGTTTCACTTCACCTTTAAAGCACCAAAACTTACTTGTTCTTTGGTCTGGGCTTTCTGAACATAGTCTCTGCCAACTTTGATGCGCGGTGTCAGTATGGCCCGGGTGAACTCCATTACGTTCATTCCCAGTAGATGGCAGAGTTTCTGTGCGACTGGAGATCAAAGTAATAAATGAAAGCATTTAAATCCTCCACAGCAGCTAGCAGCATCGGTGAATGACATCAGCTACTGACAAAGGGTGTCATATGCCAGCTTAAAAATTGAACTGCCATTCGGAACAGCAGTCAGGGAGATGCACTGCTGTCCTGTGGACAGACCTACCCTACCACACAGCCTGCGTCTGCAGGCTTCCATCTCAAAGACTGATGGAAGTCTCTACAGAAGTACACCACTGAATTTCCTTAGGGAAGTGCAAAACCCACTAGATTTCATGAAATTGCAGGGAAGTCATGTAACAGCCCATAGCCCACATACAAGCGTTCATTTTGTTACTTTAATAGGCAACATTCATTTTCTCCTCTCCAGAAAAAAAACCACAGTATGAGGAGCACATCAACTCCATCATACTAAAGGTTGCTTAAAAACTGTTTCAATTTAGGCAGGTGTGCCAGCGTAATGCTTCTATTACAGACTATATCAAAATACGTTGTTTAAATTATTTAAAACATGGGTTTGCAATATTTTATATAGAACAACAACGCAAGCAGTAGTGCACTTTCTTTAGACAGCATGAACTCTCCTGGTGTTATGTTCACTATTTAAAATAACGCATTACCCACACCATCGTTACATATTCTTGCTGCATCAATCCCTTTTTCTAAATAAATTTTCCAGTAGGTTAGGTGTTTATGATTCCATACTTCTAAAAATGAAAGTGACGTTAAAGGTATTTTTAGGTCCGGGTAAGTGTTGCCCTTTAGCAGGAAGCCCTCCACACTTACCCAGTAAGTACTTCAACCCCTTATCTTTGTAATCTGACAGCTCATTGTTTTACTGTCAAAATGAAAAGAGCTATTTTTACAAATCAGCATTGGAAAATAGATTTTTAATACCAATATATATGAGCTTCCTCTGCTTTTTTTTTTTTTTTGCTGGTATTACAAACACTACTACTTGCTCTTAATGTTGAGATTCTCTGTCTGGCCATATATTCATTAGAAGGGTACATGAATCAACACACAACTTAATCAGTGAAATTAGGGTAGCATCACAAATTGAACACTCCTTTCACTTCAGCTACATACAGGAGCATTTCTGTGCTTTGAGTATAAAAATGCACATCAGAAACTTATAACCTTAGGTGTGAAGTAGCAAGTGCTGTCAGGATCCTTAAAAAAAAAAAAACAACAAGAACTTGAAAATATTAAGTAGCCATGAGCATCAGCTTGGTACTGTGGCATAATGGATACTATGTAAAGGATATTACAGTTTTTAAGGAAGGAGGGATTTTTTTCCCCCCACGCAGTACTCCAAACACTACACTCAGCTCCTCTTTCATGAACCTGTGACATGGAATTTATTGTCCCTACCTTTCCAGTTTGTAATAAGCCATAGCTTAGGTAACAATAATAACAATAAACCATAGCAGAGGTAATACTAAAAATCACATCTGATTCAGACACTGAAGGAGGCTGCAGCCAGCATTTCAGAGGTTTGACTGAAGGAAACGAAATCATTTTCAAGTCAAAGCTTTATCACTTCTAAGGGCAGGATTGGTTCACATTATTTCAGCTTGATTAATCTTGCACTTTAAAAAAAAAAAAAAAAAAAAACTGTAATTCATCTTGTTTGTTTATAACTGAGGAAGGTCCATTTAAAAGGTACGACTGTAGAATGCCCTGACTATCCTGACTTGTGTTTCATTACTATTGGGTTTTGGATATACAATTCTGAATTATTATAAAGCAAAAGATACTGAAGAGCTCGTATCATAGTTGAAGCATGAACTTTATAAGGTTGCTTGTGAACCTCTGCCCTTTCAGCAGAAAGGCTTCTTCCAAATCTGGTAAGCATGAAATGGTCCTCGAAATACAGCTTCTCGTTCCTCTTCATCCACAAAGGCTATATGGCTTTCCTGCTATCTATTGTATCTGTACTTGAAACCAGTATTTGTTTATCTATATTTATTATCTATAGGGTAGAATTTGCTTTCCATCCATGTAGATGCGGCACTTAGGGACATGGTTTAGTGGGCATGGTGGTGTTGGGTCGACGGTTGGACTCGATGATCTTAGAGGTCTTTTCCAACCTTAATGATTCTATGATTCTATTCTTTGAATAGGTTCACATCTCCACTACCCACACAAATTACTTCCCATCTATGGAGACACTAACCCGACCTATTTCAGACACACGCCTCTAAATGAGATGAATCGCTGTCAAGACACACTTATTTCCCTGGAGGACACTAGGGAAACCCATTACAGTGAGATGTGACAATACAGATAACAAGAAGGAAGAGATCAGTTTCACTCAGTGTCTTCAGAAAGATACAAAGACCATACAACCAGATAAAGTAAATTTTAAATACAATAGAACAGAAACATGCTTTAACTGTGATCCGAGCTTATCAGCATCTTTGCTTTGTAATTCAGAATTTTGTATCCATTATTATAAATATCCAATAGTATCAATATATTTATATCCAATATTATAATTCAGAATTTATGTCCAAAAAACAATGGTAATACAGAAGTCAAGATAGTGAGGAAACTAAGAAGTATCTGTATCTTTCTACGTCACACCTTCTAAATGGACAATGACTCAGTTGAGTTGTCTAAGCTGGCACTAAAAGCCCAAAAAACTAATCCCTCACCCAACTTTCTTTTTCTCACTGCAAAACTCAAAGTGCCAACTGCCAGCCAAATATTGAGTCAATGACTATTGAACTTTAATCCACACCTGCTTGCTGGAGCACTTTGGGCAGCAGGCCACCGCCCTGAGAAATTACAAAAATTTTGGACATTGCAAGCAACCTACACACACAACAATTTAGGACAATTATGAAACGAGTCGCAGACAAGAATTTGAGTTGTGTATGTGCAGCAGGTCCTGTGAATGATGGTTCTTACTGCTCTTTCCACTGATGTCAATTCTCAAAGCTGACTTTCCATGAGAGCATTTAAAGGGCTGGTACTGAAGTACTAAATTAAAAATCAGAGATTTGCTTCAGCAGCTATCTTTTTTTGTAAAGAAATACACTCCTCAAATTGCTGATTGCATTGCAGGTACTAACTGATAAATTAAATCTTAGTCACACTGCCATGCCACTTCAGAAATCAGATTTTTCTAATTACAGCATTCTTATGTTCAGCCATTTCACTATGGAAGTTGCGCTTGGCTCCAGGGCTCTTATCAATGGCAAGAAAACTGCTGTCAAGAACCAAAGAAAACAAACTGATTTAAGTATGCACTTTTTCCTAGTGCTTAAGTCTTTGTAGATAGCAATAAACAAGACTACAGCTGAAATACTTGTTCAAAGTTTAGAGCAATGCAAACAACATAAATTCTGTTGATGGATACTTAAATTTGTCTGCATTACAAGAATGGAAGAGGAGAGTTTTAATAATTGCCCATTGGCTACTACCACAACAGTCATGGCCTCTTTTTGGCACAGAACGCTATCAAGGAAGCTCAGAAGACTGCTGCACTTTTAAAGATACGCACAAAACAAATGGCAGGACGAAAACAACAGCGCAAGTTAAAGGAAGCCATACAAACGTGATCAACTTACCAGTATTCTCTGGCATAGAAGCTTGATCAGTATTTCTCTCCTTCTTAAAGGAAATATTTCCAAATTGTAGCACTGAAGACACCACTTTCAGCATTGCTGTGTTACCAAAAGACATATGCAACAGTTTAATTGAAGAGGCCTCAGCTTAACAAATTTTTCTTCCGTCACTTTCCTTCCAAATTCAAAGTATGAGTTCAGAAAGGAAATAAAGTTTGTACTGCACTTTTTGGGCAAATGGCTTTAATTCAACTCTAGCTCATGTTAAGCAAACATTTGCTGCCGGCTGTCAAGACACTGAAGCAACATTAAATTTGGTGACATTAAATTAGCAAGTATGTGTGTGTGTGTGCAAGAGAAAAAAGTACACTTTAAAAATCCAAAAGGCTCAATAACTTACACAAAATCTCATCATGCGAAAATCCCATGATATGCATGGCTTCCATAGTCTCCTGAAAGTTATCCTTGTCTTGTTGCCCAGGAATGGGGATGTAGCCATTAGATAAAAATCTGTAATTGTTAAATCCTTCAAGCAGCAAGTCAGCTGTATTGGGGGGAAGGAGAAGAGACAAAAATAAGCTAAAGAAATGCTGTTCACACCCACCTGTACTCTGTTCTCACTAAATGCACAAACTATGCTTTACGAAATCAGTTCCTCAAATATGGCTACAAGCCATTACACCAGCTTCTGAAACTCTAAAAATATGAGTGTACCTTAGAAGCTGAAGCCAGATTCCCAGTATCTCTATCTGTAGCAACCTACATTAGCTCTTTAATGCACTAAGCCTGTAAACAGAACATTACCCGACTCAGATCTACCAGAATCTCAAATCCCTACTTGGAATATCCTGAAAGTAGTACCTCTATTGAAAGGTAACAGACACAAGCAGAAATGGAGTTTATTATAATATGGTGATTATCACATCAAGGACGCTAAACACCGGTTTATCTAATACAGGAGAAGAAAGAGTGAATCAATTCTCTGAAGTCTGTACCTTCATATAGTTTCACTTATCACAACCTAACAGAAATTCTCAGTTACCAAGGGAAAAAAAGAGAGTAGAAGATAAGCAACATAGCACTGCAGTGGCTGAAGAACGCTGCAGGGTTTCCCTATGTTTTGGTAAAATGGCTGCTTTTCTACCCAGTTTGAAGGCATGGTCCAGAATAGATATGGCTGTCACTGCTGACCAGGTTCATTATTTATCAGCTGGGAGCACTGCAGTTTCAATCCAGTGATTCCCAGTCAGAGGTTGCCCAAACTGGACTCTGTCATGTAGGAGCCGTTTGCTTGAAATGCAACAGTTGCTTGACAGCATACTTGATAAAACACAGAAGTTATTTCAAAACAAAGCCACCCGGCTTTTCATTCTTCTTTTAAAACTCACTGTTTCAAGACCAAAGAACAGTTCAAACACGACTGTGTTAACACCGAAATAACAAATGTGGCACACAGAAGTAACAGGATTACAAAACGAGATTCTCAACTTACACTTCAGGTGTTCTCCTGCTCCAGCTAGTAGTTGATAGAAGATATGAAATGTCCGCTCATCTTTAGCCTGACGAACAGCGCGAGACTTTTCCAACAAGTCTGATTATAACTAGTCAAGGATCTTCTACAATTTTTTGGTTTAAAAACATCCAATGCAAACAAAACTTTCAAAGCAGGCTATATAATTACTTTAAGACCAAACAGAACTTTAATAGCACTGACAGGACTATGTCTAATATGAACTTTCAGTAACTTCAACTAGCAGATTTCAAATTCAGACTGGTAGAAGCCCACATTTAATTTCAGCAAACTCATTTCTTGGATGTTGACTGCATTTCCCTGCTACAGGCAGCTGACAATTGTCTGTAATGGATCAGCTGAAGTCTAAGCCAGAGGGGGAGCTGGCCGTTCTTTTTCAATCACTTCTTCTATTAAGGTCATAGCTGAACTCTTAATACCAAAAACCCAGCAGCTGCTGAACTCAAAAGTACTTTATCTGACATGCATTTGTCATTTCTTTCAAGCATTGCATTTTTACATACAATCTGCACTGCCATTAAATAGCTCCCAAATTCAATTTGTGCAGCAGATAAATAACATTGCAGCTTATGCTAAGTTTTTATTTCTTGATATTACATATTGCAAAACAAACATGGGACAGGGATTTGAAATGACACAGGTTACGAGCAAGGATGAGTTCTTGTGATGAAGAAAAAAATTCCCTAAGAGTTAAGTCCTCCTGTTTTCACAAAGCTTTAGGCAAAACAATTCATCTGAACTTTCATAGAAGCAAAAACTGCCTTCATTCCTATGCTAAATGAAAAAAATCATTTATCATTAAAGCATATTTTGAATAACTATAGGTCTTTCCCAGCCTTATTGGGAGATTATATTTTGTGACAGTTCCAAACATTCAATGCACTTAAAATTAAGCAGTTTAACTCATAGCAACAGAATGAAAGCTTAACTACAGCATTGTTTATGATTAATACTCACATGATATTGTTTACTAAGACTTCCGATTTCATAATTTTATGACCACCCTATTGCTATTCCCCCAGAAAACAGGCTAAACAAACTAAAAAAAAAAATTACACACAGATTATTTTTAGTATAAAGAAAACAACTTTAGAGAAGGGCTTTCAGTGCAAGTATTTTTACTTGTTCTTACACAATCATAAATAAAAGTGAACCTTAAAGCTAAAACTGAATTAGGCTTCAGTATTAATTGCTAGTAGGTCTCGTGTTATTGAACCTACACTGGTATCTAGAAGACCTAAAAAACCAGAAGGTGTCCCAACACTTGCAGCTCTATCACTTTATAAAGAGCATCACCTCCTTCCAGGCAGAGAGCTGCTTCTGCAAAACCAAGTTTTTGACAAAAAAGAGAGGGCAAAATGGTTTCTCTATTTAATATACCCTGGTTTTAAGGCTAGTCCGAAAATCCATCAGATTTCAGAGTGCTAAGTTTTGGAGCATCCGATTTCTAAGCGTGAGTAAGCACGCTGACTTTGTGATATTTGATCGGCTATTTTGAAACAAAGGAAGAGATGGATGTTGTCAAAGGAATGTAGAAATGTGGTAACCTTTCACTGCATTCAAATGAATTCTAGGGTTAAAAGCAAAACAATTGGGAAACTTGCATTTTACAATGATGTGGCATGAAGTAGGATACATGTCTCAATGTTGGCCCCAACAATATAACCAGTAACATCAAAGTTAATCCTAATGAACTTGCCCTGCAAAGGAAAGATTTTTGTGTAATTACTAACTTTTTTTATTAAGACAACAATGCTGTCTATATAAAAACATAATCCTACTTGCACTCATATAACACGCATTTCACACAAGTTCAAATGAAATCTTTTCCCTTCAATGTGCTCAGCCATCATTTCAACGGAACATGTTATGCTGCACACAAACACTTTCTAAAGATTAAAGAACTAGTATTCTAGATATGTTTGCAATCCAGACTTATGAAAAACTTTTCCGAAAGTGAAGCTCAATTTCTCGCATAGACAAAACATGCTGTCTAAGGTTGAAAGCAACGATTAAAGAACTAGTATTCTAGATATGTTTCCAATCCAGACTTATGAAAAACTTTTCTGAAAGTGAAGCTCAATTTCTCACATAGACAAAACATGCTGTCTAAGGCTGAAAGCAATGCTGAGATTTTAAGCGCACATATTTCTACAGCAAACTTATTGGTGCCTAAAGGTGCTTTATCTGCAGCAATCCTGAATCTCAGTGTGCTGCCCAGCCCAGACGATCACACTTCTACTTCCATTTCCAAAACCAGGATGGCTGCATGGCCTCTTTTTTCTAGCAGTTGGTAAAGAAAGGACTAAGAGAGAGACAATATACCCATTTCTTCCACATACATCTCCTTTTCTCCACAAAGGACCAAATAAAGAGCACACTTCCCACATGTAGAGCAGCTCTTGAAAAGAAAGCGGTTGCAAGTGGGTATATTATACCAGTTTTAAGCCACATCAGTTCCCCAATCTGTCACTTGGCTACGAACACTCCCAACAGGACAACAGGCTCCAGCTTGGAGTTGGACCACTTTTAACAGCACCATTACCGTATTTCAAGTTTGCACTCATGAAACTGTTAGGTATTCCCCTGGTTGCAAACATGTGAAGAAACCAGTGGGAATACCCAGTGACTACACTAGGCTCTCCATTTTCATTGCACCCAATTTCTAGTCTTCTATCCATATATGAACAGGTTTTGGAGATCAGGGAGCATCACAACAGTTTGCTAACAACTGTCTAAACGCTTCTTTTGATGGTACCTGCACAAAGCCACCTACTATCATCTTTTGCGGACACCTTCTGAAAGCACTCTTACAATCAGTATCCAAATCCTCACTTATCTCAAGTCTGACTGATTAGTGCTATTAGTATGTTAAAGTGAATTCCTGTTTGGCAGATCCATTCAGCTCAGGGAGTGTACTATTCATGTTCATATTAAATATTCTACTCTACAAGCCTGTAGAATATATGTATTCTAACAACGGCCCGGCCTAGTAAGTGTAAATTGAGGGTATATTGCCATGCTGCAGACTTATGCCTGAACAAGTTGCTGTATCATTTGAGCTATTGCAACTTCTTACGAGAACACCCTACCCTTCTCAACTTCCCTGATAAAGCCCATTCATGTCAAAGATTTGTGTGCAAAAGAGTGACCAAGTTTCCCTCCCCAACTACACCAGTGTATCCAGAGAAAAGGTAAAACCTTCCTACCAGCCTTATCTTGACTTAGTCTCAGAGCAAAGCAACTGCTCAATGACTGTGGTTGTACCTCTTCAACACAAAGTGATTTTTTCAAGTTTCAAGAAAACTGGTGGAATACTTTAGATTAGCTTCAGTGGTTACTCCCTACTGCTTAATCTGCAGTTTGGCTGGAAAGCCAGTGGCACTAAAATGACCATGCCCAGGAACAAGGCTTGTTTTCAAGCATGCCCTGTCAGGTACAAGCACTTGAACTCAGATTTCCAAGTATGAAGAAACAGAACACTAAGCTCAGCTTGTAACTGAAGCATTTATACTTTTTGCTCAGTAACAATTCCAGAAAGCTATATTTATAACTGTCATAAAGAACGAACTGACATTTTACTGAAATTCAGCCAATAGACTAGATATATAATGCATGTGTCAGCGCTAGCATGTCAAGAATGGCAGATGACAGCTTTTTACCCAGAACAGGTACCACAGAGACTTCTTAGAATGACATGGCTTGAATTTGCCATGTTACATGTGAAAACAAACATGAAGCATTACATAAGGTCTAGTCAGTGGCTTTTTCTGATATAATTCAGAACCACTTTACTGTTTCACCCTTAAAAGTTATCTAATTTCTGCTGTCAAGTTACCAGTTCCATGAACAAAAATAAATGAGAGGAAATGCAGTCATTAAACGAGCTGACACATCAGAAGAGGTCACTTATCTAGTTGATCTTCTTAAAAAGCAAAATATTAATACATTCTTTTAGCTAGCACTGGCAAATCTTGCTATGAAATCTTTAATTTGTTTGTTAGACACTGTAGTGGTGGTCATCTAACAACTGAATTCTGTTTACACTATCATTATAGCACTAAGTATATGGCTTTGTAAAAACCACATCAGAAGGAAGCATTTGGTTCTGCAATATGAACCCAGCAAGCCCACTCTCCTGTGCACTGCAAGCTAGAGACTTTACTTCCCAAAACACAAGAGAACACTGCCTTTGGTAGGGGGAAAAAAAAAAGAAAAAAAAATTGATTTGACACTAGCCTTATTTCAGTCCTATCTGGTATTATCAACAAGTAGGGAACAGGCTGGCATCCTTTTGCTGCACGGTGAAGACTGTCAAGCCTGTATGGGCTGAACAACAGCACTTCTCACTTTGTGGGAGGATATATATTTTTTAAGTCAGGTTTTAAAATGGTTGTTACTAAAGATTATTTTTTTCTGCATGAGATGACGCCATCTGGAGTGCATTATACTTGCTCCTTTATAAAAATAGAGCTGGAGCCATCTGAGTGATTATGTTCATGATGGCAATGCAGACTTCAATATAATACAAACCAGATGCTAACAACTTTAAGGAAAAAAGGATCCTCATTAAATTAGTATAATCTTTGATGGATTCAAGACGTGTAACAACGTAGAATTATTGCACAGTGAAACCCGTTGATACTATAAATCCTATACCTAACATATGTAAGCATCAAGCAATATTGTAAATAATGTGGCTATAAAATTATCAAAGTTGAATTTCTACAGTACTCTGCTCTCCCTTCTTGATTGAAAAGGCTAAGGGATTTAGTCATACAGTTCTCCAGAGTCCTTATCACTGGAGCCGAGTTCATACACTGTAAATCCAGCAACTGTTGAAACATTAAAGCAGCCAAGAAATCTTTCATTTGTTCTGTAAATTTTAGTTTTGTTCTCGTAAGAAGAAAGATTTAATACCTCCTATACAGTTTTAAAGTTGTACTAAAAACATCTTTCCCCTGAAATAGGAGATGGCTTTTTTTTTTTCCTTCAATGGAATGGAAGTTTTAAGAAGTGGTAAATAGCTGTTCACCCTGAGTTCCACCACTATTTTTAAAACAATGGAACACATCAGAAGTGGTTATCTGCCACCAAAACAGTATGTGAACAGAAGGCACTGACCCAACAAAAACATGAACCAGCTACAAGAATGACCAACACCTTGAATAAGTCATACTGTCTTTTTGACTTTCCTTCATTAAATTAGTCAAACAGAAGGGCATGGAAATTTAGAGAGGTTTTTACGTGCAAGTTTTGTGTTTTTTTAAAAATTGAGGATGTTCTCTCTAAACCAATCAATTGATAAAGTCATAGCTATTGACAAGGCAGCTACATATTTAGCCAAATTCCCTGTTGATGCCATACTCCTTCATGCTTTATAGTAGTTCAGCAGTAAGTTATGCATGCAAGCCACAGTTTAGCTTTACAGCTAGTTATATTTGTTATACTATGAACACTACTGTCAATTCAAGGATGGCTGAAGTTAGAAACCGGATAAAATCAAAGCAAGTTTTGCCGAGAGCCAGTGAGGATGCATCTTCAGTGACCCCAACACAATACACAAAGCATTGTAAGAGAACCTGAATTCATGGAGAAAAGAGAACAAAGAAAGCTTCTGATACTAATCAGATAAATTCCTAAAAAGGGAATTTCTCCATAAACAGTAATCCAGATTTACAGACTCTAAAGAGAAAAGGAAGAACTCACAAAACGGGAGGAGTTGTCATTTTTCACTGTCTTTGCATTCCCGAAGGATTCCAGAATGGGATTCGCCTGAAGAAGCTGACGCTCCAGCTCCCCCTAAAAACCACACAAACAGAAAAATAAACAGACATAAGCACAGTGCACAGGCGATTAAGGGTTCCTACATTCTGCTTCTTCCCGACAGTCATTTTACCCAGGTTGTGGCAGTGATACCACCTTCAGAAGGGGGTTATCATTTTTCCCCTCACTTCTAAATCCACTGATAGTCTCCTCCATCCAGTGAAGAATGTGTTTTGATGTTTGTTTTGTTGTTTTTGTTGTTTGTTTGTTTGTTTTTTAAACACACACACATTACACACACAAACAGAGCAGTGACCGGATAAGACTTAATGGATGTTGAAAATCATTGACATGGAAAAGAAAATTCACGTTCAGGGCTAATGTAATTAGGCACAGACTTTGAGTGATTAAGAGGAAAAATTAATTTAACTGTTTCAAGATTTTAGCGCAAGGTTATTCTTAAACTTCCTGTTTAGTGATTTGACAATATAGCTACTTTGGAATACCTATTTTTAAACTTACTTTCAAATCAGTGAAATACTCACTTTGAATCAGCCAGACATTCATATCATTGCAACATCTCTGACCTGAATGCACCTGAGAAGCATGCCAGAACGGCAACTGAGCAGCACCAGATACAAAGATTATTTTCAAATTGCTCAATTCAGCCAACACTGCTCAGTATGCTTAATACATTTTTTTAAACGTTTCTTTAAGTTCAAGCCAATGGATGTAGAAATCAAAGTACTTATCTTAAGGAAATTGCACAACAGCTTTTACAATTTCTGTCCATGAGGAGGTCTAGTAACAAAAGAAGTCTGTGCTGCTTCCATGAGCCCAGGAGGCATGTATGTACATAGGAAAATATGATATTGTCTTCCTGTTCTGAAGGATGGTTTAAAAAAAAAAAAAAAGAAAGTGAAGCTGTCTGGAATGTAGTCTCAAAAACTGATGTTTGTGTTCATAAACCTGCTTTTTCCAATTATTTATAGCATAGATGAATAAAGGCCCCAGACTGAGCATCAAAGAATGGGAAACATCTCTTAAGGCTTCCACATGAGGTCAATTCTTACATGGGAATTTTTAAAATTCACTAGTTAACACCTAAAAGAGGCTTTATTTGTATATCTACATATGTTTCGAGTCCTTCTGGAAACTAATGGCTGCTTGTTCTTTAATGTGACCTCAAGTTATCTGCTCAAAACTTGTTTACTTCCAAATATTTTCCCTTTGGGACTACATAGTCTCTGAATTCTGAAGTAACTAAAGAAGAAATAAATGTGTGAGTGTTAGCCCAGAGCACACTAAACACTACTAGGGCCACGGTGCCTAGGCTCTGTATGTTAGGTCTGCCAACATTAGAGTTCTCAGGAGCACTTTTAAATTGACAAAAAAAATCCACAATTGGAGAAAAAACTAGATCCCTGTTATAACCACTATATGCACGTTTGCAATTTATATTCTAAAAGTTTCCTATGTAAATGCATCAGATAGAGGGAAAGCATTTGCTCATACCATTCCTCCCATTTCCCTTTCCCAACCATGCTGTCAGCGCCTGCTAAGACACCAAGTATAAAAATGAGAAGCTTGCTTACCATGCTGTACACTGCTTGAAATAAACCACATTACGCATATTAAACGCAGCAAGCATGTCGCAGCTTACATTTCAAATTCTAGCTATTCTGGAAAAGAAAGCACACTGACTTCAAAATCTGACTCCCCCACAGAACATCACTGCGCCACTTGAAAGCTTCTCACTGCAGGCACGCTTCGTCCATGCTTTAAAGTGCTTCCGTGTACCACAACCTTAATTTGGTTTTGCGCAGAGGAACTTCTGCAATGCATCATAAAATAATTTTACTCAAATTCTCCAACTGAATGCAAAAAGTTCGTATAGCTCATTTTTACAACCATCTCTGAGGATTTGAAGAAAACATTCAGCTGGGTCCTCAGATGTGGGTGAAAACCATGAGAACGAACAGAGCGATCACAGCCTAGCCAGCCTCTGTGGTTTGCACGTGCAAGTAGACTTGTCGTAGCCATCACTAAGAAACAGCAAACCTCTCACACTGTGTTAAACGGCTTCTGATTTAGTAGTTTTCATTTTTAGATGGACTGCTTCACAGCCAAAAAACAACCCTCTTTTTAGAGGCGTTCGGTGTTTTGGAAAGAGTGTAAATTTGGCCTATAGGCTTATCTCCCGCATAGGCATCTAAACAGCACTTGGAAAAAGCAGTATCGCAGTATTGTGGAAAAAGTGAAGTCATGCAATATTTCATGCAGGGCAACATTAAGATAAGGACAGGTTATTGTCTCAGTTTCAGAAAAACCAGCATCCCAGTGATTCAGTTCGTTGTGAAGCCTGGGTGAGGCAGGGAGAACTACATGCTACTCACATACAACAGGGATCCACTCTGTAGTTCAAAATGACATTGAAACAGAAATGTTAATGATTATGGTTTATGCAATATCAACACTTCTGGATTAGCATGTTTCCACTGATACATTTAAAATGTTTGCCAACAAACGGTTTATTTCAACCCTGACATGCTAACTCTAAGCAAAAGGAGGGTTAAACTAAACACTGCTCTGTCTATTTTTGGAACAGAGAAATATTTCGGTAAAAACCATTCGAATTGACTGAAGTTTGCAAGGAGGGAGGATTAGGTTAAATACTAAGAATGTCTGTAACTTCTGAAAATGAGACCGTGGGCTCAGACGCATGATTGAGTTACAGAGGTTTAACAAGTTACCACACAATGAATAGCAAAGGCATCACAGCTGTCCATGTGATTTCTTTTTGCTTCCAGTATACCAGACCTAACTTGAAGTTTCTTTTATTATTTTCCTTTCCACTACAGTTTAAGTTGCACTACAGTCAGCTTTCAGAAAAATGTAGGGGGAAAGAATACAATCAGCTAATCTAACTCATGGTAGCTGCTTCAGTTGCCAAGCCTTGGTTACACCATACGGAGCTGTTGTAAAGCTTTATTTAAAAGCTCCTGCCCATGACAAAAAGGCATCACTTACCATCTCAGGTTAGAGAGTGGAGCATTTATCTTGCATGACATGTGGCAGCAATTGTTTATCTGTTTCCACAGTCCTACCCTCAACTTCCACCTAACCCTCCTCTTTATGCCCCTTCACAAGTACACTCCATAGCACTGGGAGCACTGCAAGTCCTACTCTCGTACAAGAAGGTGGTCTAGAACAGACTGACTACTGCTGCCCACGGGAGGAGAGGGATTAGGGGAGCAGGAAACGGGCAGCGTTATCTGCATGGCGGCTCCAGCCAACCTGAGGAATAAGCACAGCTGAAGCTCAAACATTAATTCAGGCAGCAACACTGAACAGATACCACATTGCTCACACCACTTATCCTAGGAAGCCAGGGGAAAAAACTTGATTTCAGAAGACAATTGGTTATGCCAAGCCTTTTACACTTGAGATCAAAGTCTTTATCAGGTTATCTGAGAAGCTATAAAAATATTCAGATAAAATGGTATGTTAATCAAAAGAATTTTGTAGCTTCCATTAATCTCTTTTATTTAGTACTTTGTTTAATATTTTAAAAAGTGTTCTGCACTCTCTCAGCAGCACATTAACCAAGTATATGCACAGCATATTGGACAAGGTCAGCTAGAGAGAGGGTGAACCTTTTGCTTCAGGACAGAGTAGCACCACTTTAGTGCCAAGAAGTGCTTTGCAATGCTGAGGAACTTGTAAGCTGTTCACTAGTCCGCTCTCTCAAAGCCAGTTAAATGTTAACAAAGTTTACTATTAGCTGTATACCTCTACAAGATGTCCCACACGTTACAAATACAAATTGACAGAAAATAGAAGAATACGTATCAGTTTGCCTACATAACTTTAAAAGCATAAAGAAAAACACTTGCCTGATGTTTCACGGGTTTAGGTGATTCGGGCTGTTCATTGCAAACAAACAAATGCATATGTTAGCAAGCAAGCATTCCAGCTGCAAGTTACATCCCAAATTATTAATGTCAGTAGGTTTAGTTTAACTACATACTCACTTCATAGAGACTGTTTAAATGCATTATTTGCTTGTCATTGCATGCGCAAAATACTAAAATCTGTGTTTATGCAAAGGACTAATTCCAAATAAAACACAAGATGACAGATGGACCTTGAGCAGCAAGGAAAAAGGGCAATAGTTTAATTAGTTGTGCACTGCTTGCCACAGTTTTGCCAAACAACAACAAAAAATAAACCCACAACACCAAGTAACTTTCTCTACAGCCTTAGTCACTGCAAGGTGGTTTTGTATGGATAAGATGATCATTATTCTTCAAAAATCAAAAAGGTTATGAAAGAACCTAGAGGAAAGCAATACTTAAGGAGTCTGGGGTTTTGTTTTTGCACTGTACTTCAAGTATTTAAGAAATGCAAACCTACAATCAAGACAAAAGCTTTGTTTCTTTCAAGAATGACTGTCCACATGAGAAGCAGCAAAATCTTAAGAAACAGTAAGACCTTCAAATTTTGCCAGGAAGAACGGTAAACGTAACATGAATGTAATAAAGTAAAATAAAAATCCCTCTAAATTCAAATTTACACAGTTTCTGCAGAAATGCAGAAAATTTTTATTCCATTATTATTTCCTTGGCTCAGTCTGCAAGTTTAATAATCTTGAGCTTCACATCAGAGAGCCTAGGGGGAAAATATTGCGGTGAAACACACACCAAGAAATTTTCATACCAAGCCAGAAGCACACTTCCTCCATTTATGTCTATTATTTTAAACAACTAGCACTATTTTAGTGCAGAATAACGGATTTTGACAGAGGTCTGTAAAGCAGCTGGCAAAGGTTTGGCTTATTCAGCTAAGCGATGTGAATTTTGCAAAGCTCTATCACACCTGCTCGGAAAACAACTCAGGCATCTAAAAAAAAGGTTAAATGTTTCAATACGAAGCTACTACTCCCGTAATCACTGGAGAGGGATAGGTACACCTAGGAACCCAAGAGGCATTTTGTTTGCTTATCTTCAGACAAGATGAACCACTCTCTCGGGATGTCCATCTCTGTCCTCACTAGAAACAGAACTGAGCATCATCAGACACATTTAACTTCTCTGTGTTTAAATTAGGGCAGTTAAAGCTCTCCTGGGAAATCCTCACTAAGGGGAGTTTCAGTCTGAGCGAGTCTACCCAAGATCCTGTACTTCAAAACCAATTATATTTCTTTTGAAATTAATAAAACAAATTAAGCAATTTAGCATTTCAGCTACAAAGGCAAATGCAGTCACTGAAAGCAATCACTAACCTGAAAGTACCAGTAATTATTTCTGAAGCTTAAAGCGGCATCACCGTGAAAGCTGGATTTTAGTGAAAGCAGAGGGCATTTGGGGAGGGAAGGCTTTGGGGAGAGGGGAAATGAACAGAAGTCTAATTCCGTTCACCTGAACCAGAGGTACATAGTACCAGGATGACTGGAAGTGGAGACAGCAGTGGTGGATGGATGCAGTTATTTATAGAACTTAACTACTTCACATATTACCGTGATTGAAAACATCTGCTGATTTCATGTGTTTGACCATGAATAGGGTCCAGGTATGTCCATAGTCTACAAGTACAGCTGAGAGTATCCCCCCAACCTCACGCAGCCCGTAGAACATGCAAGTTCATGGCAGTCTCTGGGCAGTAGTGACAACCAGCACTTTTCCTTCTTTTGGAAAGCCATGTATGCAATTTTTTTTTTTAAATTATGTCTATATTTTGCACCGACTTCTCTCCCCATCAAAAACCACGAAGTTTTTAAACTAAAGCAGAATCCAAGAGTCAGAATTAAGACTCACTACTTCACCATATTAAAGCAGCTTTAACACACGCATTAACACCACAATTTCATTCTTTTCTCTCTTTCTCATCTCACTTAGTGCATATGGGAGTGATGAGCCACAAAGCTAAGCAGTTTAGAAGTCTCATTTTCTTCCCTATCTTCCTTGCTTAACCTGTCCAAAACGCTCTCTAGACACATCAGCCTCCTCCCCACACTCATCAGTTACCTGTCCTTGTTCTCTTCCTCTCCTTTTATTTTAAATATCCTTTTCTCCACACCTCCTGAGCCTACAGAAGAATAATTGAGAGCGAAGGTGAGAGAGTCTCCTGTGTGTGACCTAGGAGCATGGGTAGCTGACCAGACCAACAGATACTAGTGTGGGTCACCTTTGGTCTGAGATGCCCGAGCTAAAGCACAGTGGTTGCCTTTATAAAGCTGGTCCATGCGTGGCACAGTTAACAACTGAATAAACCACAATATGCTTGGTGCAGGCAAAATATTCGGATTTACTGGCAAAGTTTTTAATGCTACCAGCCCACCCCCCCCAAATTCTTTAGAGCTCAAATTTGTTGGATGTGAAGCTGAAGTTCTCAGTTATTTACAACTAATACCTTCCATCTTCTCTCCCTTGCTACACGCCGACTAGGCCTGTGCATGTGTCAGTTCTGACTCTCAACCAAGCACGCTATAGACAAGGATTCAGGCTCACTTTCATCCCACCTTCAGTCTTTAGATAAGCCTATGTTTATAGCTCACTGCCAAGTACTTCTCCCTCCCCTCCGTTACTTGGCTCTAGAAAGCCCAGTCTCTATTCCTAATTTAAAGGGCTACCTTAGTCTCACCTAGCTCTGCCAAGTCCCACAATTACTAAAGCTTCTTTTCTACACTTTTACCATCACCACCTACCCATATTTCCTAGCACCGTGCCCAAGACGGTACCTTTAACATTCTTCGGGATTAAACAGGAAATGAGACAGCGTGGCTACAGATGCAAACACTCAAAAATGAGGAAATTCTAGTATTAAGGTTGTTCAGCACCATAATTCCACCCTCTGTGGTTACAGTGTGTTATTGACTCCATTTGCCACAGGACCCCTGTCTGAGGATGACATGCAAGGGCTATGCAGGACTCATCTGTAGGCGCACAGTCACTAGCTATTAGGAAAGAGGGCTGTTGGGAAAGAAAAGTCTCACGGACAAGCAGCTGAATACCAAAACATGATGAGGATGCCCAAGGGATGGCTAGAGTTCCTACATGATGTTCCTCGCATAAGCCAAGCATTTCACCCTCAGTGCTGCTGGAGAATGTACTTGGTGAGCATCTGTGGCGTGGCAGAACATCAGTGCTACTCTGGCCATGGCCTGAGGTGTCAAACTGGGGGCTACTTTTGTTTGTAATACTCTTACAGCACTCTGTCAGGCAAACCAGACAAAGTTAACCCTAGACTTCAGAACAGTGTTGGGAAAATAATTATTCATCAGCATACAAATTACTTCCTAAAAAAAAAAAAAAAAAAATCCATGCAGCATTCAGAACAGTCTCAGTAATATGCATGTCACTGATAATTATTTGTAACAGGATGGATAAAAATAAATCCATGACTAGCAGTCTATTTAACAAGCCTATTTAGCATCTTCTCCATGCACAGGATAATGCAAAGGTTGTACAGATGGGTACTATGGATCGCCACCAGCCCTCTACAGTTTTCTAATGAATATGTAAACAGGAACAAATTAGGGCTGCATATATAAACCCAATTCTGACAATTCCTAACTTCTGAGTGTTAGGTGTGTAGGTTAGACATTCTTTGTTTGCAACATACAAATAAAAATGAATCATTACAGAACAAGGGAGACTCATTTCTGTGTTCAAAACTGTTTCGGTTACACAAACAGTCTGCATTTTTCATAAACATATGCTTAATTCAGTGCTTACTATGGCACTGCATTGAATGAAGTGCACTATCAAAGTATCAAACTTTTATTCAGGACACTACCCTAGTATTTTTACTCTGCCTAAACTATGTTTTACAAAGAATAAAAACTTTTCCAGTCTTCATCATGACAGTCATTGATGGTTCGTGAAGCAGCTGATTACAGCCACCTTCAAAACTCTTTTGAGATGAACACCACCATCCCATTTGATCACACTGGTAAGTAGAGAATTAAATTGCAGTTCAACCAGCAATTTAAATTGAATTAGCCAACACTGCTTAAAAAAGGGCAACTCATCCTTCCCTTCACTGATATTTTCCACCCCAGCTTTCTCCTTTCTTTTCTGTGCCTTCACTTCATACCAGTCATGCAGCCACACAATAAACAACAGAGGAAATTTGTTTCGTTTAAAGCCAGATGGACTTTAAGAACACTAGTTTGAGCCCGCATCAGTCTCCAAGCCCAGTGAGTGGCCACAGGAATTGTTAGGATGACAAAGCTCAAAAAGGGGTACTTCTTTTAGCAGAGGTACTGGCATGAAGTGCTCATGGAAACACAGCATGAGAAAGGCCAAACAAGCATGGAGTACTTTTTAAACAATCAAAAATAGGGCTTTAAGTGGTTAAGCACTGGAACAGGTTCACAGAGAGGTTGCATAATCTCCATCCCTCAAGATTTCCAAAACTGAGCTTTACAAGGTCTTGGGCAAAGTAATCTAACTTTGAAGGAGGGCACATTTTGAAAGGAGGCTGGACAAGAGGCTTCCAGAAGTCTCTTTCGACCTGAGGCATTCCAAGTTGTCAATAGTATATTTAGAAGTACTTGGTACAAACCCTGCACAATTCCCTTCTCCCCCAAAAAGCCATAGGCAATTTTACTCCTGTAGAAATTGGGAAAAAAAAAGCTGGTTTTGTTCAAGGCTGCACAGCAGTAAATCCAAAAATATTGATAAATCAAAACCTACACAGAAAACCAAGTCTGATGGATGACATTCTAAATAGCATTCCCCAGAGCCATGCGTTCTCCCAACACACAAGACGATGCCATGAACATACACCTAATACTGCTGACACTCCAATCATAAGAAACTTCCTTCTAAGGCCTGTAACTGATGTGGACGCAACCTGCAGCACACTCAGACTGCACGATAAATACTTAGACTAATTTTGAACTTTTCTGTGCAATAAACCAGCAACAGTTTGAATAAGTATCAACGCAGAGCATCATGTTATTTGCTCTTGATTAGAGCAGAGATTCGAGTTTCCCCATCACTTAATAGATTTCTCCAAATCTACCTGCAGAGCAATCTTTCCTTCTCTCCCACTTCAAATCCTTGCCTTTCTCTTCTCCACAGATTGGTCAAAACTCATCTCCTGTTTTTCCAGGAGTTTGAGTCTTGACACATTCAAGAATGTCTTAATGTTAAGTGCCATGCACTAGAAATTACAGAAATTGTTGCTGCTAAGTCAGATATATAGTTTGAAAGCTTCCAACCGCCAGACACCCCTGCGGTACTACTGGAGAAAAGCAGGTGTACACCAGTATTGATTACAGCAAGCCACTTGCTTGTAGCAAAGTTGAATTAATACTTCACTGCAAAGAGATCCAAGTGCTCATAGCAACAGATATTCAAACTCATTCATATTTTTTAAAGCAAGGAATTGCTAAACATTCAGGGCAAATTTTGAAGTCTAGCAGTAAATCTGAAGAAAGTTCCACATAAATCAGAGTTAGTGACAAGTTACCAAAAAACCCAAGATTCTCTGACATGAGTGTATACTCTGTTGTTTGTAATATAATAAAATCTGAGCTTTTTATTAGCTGCTGACTTCTAGATATAGCATGTCTACAGCAGGTTTTTAAGCTTGATGATTTTTCCCATCTACAAGTTAATTTTTGAAAGAAAAGAAAGCTTGTTCACAATTATGGTACTGAAAACTACATCTAGTGGGAAAATTCACTAAGAATTGCCCAAGTTAATTACTTTTTCTGAAAACTGGGGTTTACTGCATCAGAAAGCTTTGATACTGTTTCTAGTTACAATGTTTGCATAAAGCCTTTAATTTCACAACAGAAGTTAAACAGCTAACATTAACTGGAAATTTTGATGTAACTGCTCATTTCAGCCACTGCTAAAAAGAAAATAATGGTTGAGACAAGATTATGTGGATTATATTACAGCTTATCTTTAACAAAGAAGTTGTGGGGTTTTTAATGCAAAGATGGTAGTTTTCAAAAAGAGCAATAAATAAATGAGAAAATATCCCAACTTACAGGAATATTATGGTCCTTTCTTCCTTTATGGGAGGAAGCAACATGAGCAAGGTATTGAATAACCTTCTTAGTGTTTTCAGTCTTCCCGGCACCAGATTCACCTCTGCAAAACATTTCAGACATTTTCCTCAAAATTAATTCTCAACAACTTATCAATCCTTTGTTTATAGCAACCTCGTTTCATTCCATTTATGGCTCTGACTATGCAACAGACCTTCATTAACTGTCTAAAACCAAAAGCACCGATGTTGCAGGGAACAAGGTATTTGTTTGAAATACTTTCTTCATCCTAAAGATCTCCTTAGCATTAAGATGTTGATACAATGTGTAACATTAGTTTGATTAAAAGCTTTTGACTATATGCCTGAATTCCTTTGTTACCTCAAGTAACAAGAAACAGACTTGACCTCTGCCTTGATCACAAGGCCAGAGACAGAATTTTTCAGAGTGCAGATACATATATATTATTTTTTTTTAAATCATGATATATATATACACACATTTTTATATTTAGCATCATTTTAATATATTTTATATTCCAGGAGCTGGTTATAAGAATTACCAAGTTAATGGAAACATTCGTTTCCTTAGAAGCCAGTTTCAAAGTACAGTAAAACACATTTTAACAGATTCTTTGCACTGCTAATCGCAGACTCTTACCTAGTTTGAAAATATATTCATGGCCACAGGGCTACACGAATTCATTAAGAAATGAATTTATTAGTGCAGAGTGGTACAGTACGCAGATCAGCAAAGATAAAAATAAAGTGTGCATTTGCTAAGACAGAGACAGATTTAAAGCAGAACATGTTTAGACAGAATTTATTGCAGGGTTTACATATGGGATATTCTAGGCAGGAAATGTGACCAAGTTTTGGTTTTGTTTTTTGTTTTGTTTTGTTTCTTAAACCTAGGTCTGATCTTTGGATAAATCCACACAAAGGGATTACCAGGTCTAACTTAGCCATGATTCAATGGCAGTAAACTACTGGAGAAAGATCCCATTTCAAGTGAGACAGTGACTGTCACTAGCAACTCTGAAGTGCATGAAGCTAAAAAGGGTTTTATTATGGAGATTTGCATGGAAAGAGTGAAAGTACTTCTGTCATTCAACAGTTGGTCAGAAATTAAAGTTGGGAAGCCAACTACTTTGTAAGAATGAGAAGTACACATTCTGTGTGCTTGCATATTTCCCAGCTAAGATACTTATAACAGTAATGTTAATTTACCAGGGGGAATTTAAGCACATTCTTTTGCAGTTTTTATGAATACCTTCCTTCCACCATGCTGCATACCCCGGTTTTGTAGCTAGTCTGTGTTTACTTAGGTATTGAGTACCTTCAGACCTGCACTTCTTGATCAGATAGGCAGCTTAGAAGCATCCCTATCCATATTACACTTAACATCTGCAAAAATGAGACAATACAGCACTTGAAATTTTAACTTTGCGTATACAGAAAGGATATTACCCCAGATTTTCAAAAAGAACAGACACTAAAACAATCTCGTTTCTTTTTACCTTCCAATCCTCTTAAATCACGGAAACCCCACAGAACAACTGCACTAGCAGAGGTGACCTCTTGCTAAGAGATGGAAGTATGCATTTCTCCATCCACGAGCAAGAAGTAATGGGGACTGAAGAAGCTCACTCACAGCAGCTTAGCAAACTCATCATGGAAGAGTAGCCTGCAAGAGCTAGGTACAAGCTTCAGGTGAAACAGCTCATCTATTTGACCTGACAGAACAGTATCGGCTCCTAGGTTTTGCAGGAGAAAACTTTTAACTGAAAACACCGAACAAAATGATTCTGCAGACAACCTGTGGGATATTTATCACAGGTTCGGTTGCCGTATTGTGGCCTGCAATACTAGAGGGTTAACCAAGGCACCAGATTTTATTGATGGCATCTGCTTCTCGGAAGCAACTACATCAACCTGTCTAAAACCATTTTTGTTCCATTTTTTCCTTACAACAAGACAAGCATCATTGGAAAATAATACAAAATATGAAAGATTAGAAATCACTGTACTCAATTACCCAAAACTTTCCAGAGATAGAGAGAGTACTTCCCCTGAAACTTGTTGATGATGTTAGCTTTGCTCACTGCTTGAAAAAACTTGGAAGGTATTACCTGAAGAGCTGGTTACAAAGAAGATTACTATGAGAATTAGCTAATGGATAACTGGGTTTCCTTTTTGCCAAGATACCATCAATATGCAACACAGAAGCTGGGTGTACTTTGGGACTGCTACAAGTAGAACAACACACTTTGACTCTTAATGAAAAATCCCATTTCTACCCGGCCCAGAGTCACCACATACAAGACAAATGTGAAGATTGGTAAGCAGAAAAAAAGACCTCAGCTGCCAATTCTTGCTTCCCAAGTCTTTATTTCTAGTTTCCCTTTTACTGCAGTGTTTACATTAACATAATTCATGACTATAAGCAATAATAAAAGCAGTCTTGCCTGTTTCTAGATGTGTATTAAAATACACTTAATGCTAAAACTATTCCAGCAGGTAAGAGAAGTAAGAAAAGAAGTACAGCAAAATATACATTTACATTTTAAAACAATACAATTTGTTCTTATTGTCATCGGAGCTTGGGAACGCATTATTAGCCATGCCTTTAAAACTAGATAGTCTTTTCTGTCAAGTTACAAAAACAAAGTTTATAAAATTTTAAAGGATGAAAATCTACTCCGACACATCCAGTGAAGAGAAAGTAGTACAATAAATACAGTCCAGATGTCGGCTTTCTAAAAGGGCAGCACACAGTTTTAAGAAAGTCTACTAATCAACGAGCTTTTCTGGCGTACACACCAGTAAAGCTTCATACAGCACAGGAAGGTCAAAAGCTTGCAATACATTCCTTTTGCTAAAAAGCCATTAAATCTAATAGTGGGGTTTTTTAGAGAAAGTCTTTATGCAAGTTCTCATTCAAAAGCAACACTAATGGATGTTATCATCCTAGTTCTCCTCTCCCTGGAGATTACAAGTATGCCAAATATTTCCTGCAGGATACAGTGTTAGATAGCTCTGCTGCCATATACTATAAAAGAATTAGAAGGTTTAGGATACAAGTCCTTTTCATTTGTAGAAATAATGACATCTGCGAACATTAGTTCTTTCCCAGGAGTGCAAACACACGGATTATAAAAATATTTTAAAGTTGTCTACCTCTATCAACCTGCCCAAAAAAGGTAAACTTTTAGTAACACTATGTACAATATTTATGGAATGGAGATAGTATCACGAAGCTAAATATTAACTTTTTCAAAACCTTGTTTTAATACAACTCAATTAATAAGTTACCATAAATTAAACAACTAAAACCTCTGGCTGAGATCCTAGCCTTGCTTGAGTCAATGGCAGCTTTGCTAGTGACTTCAGTAGGGTCGTAATTTCATCTCCTTTATTTCAGTCTCAATTCCACTACTAGTAGAAACAAAGCCTTATGAGACTGGATTGAAATGCTGTATCAACTCCAGCCATGGGCTATATCAAACAGTGCATCCAAGTACGCAAATCATCTCTAGCAATAGCCTCAAGTTGGAGGTATAAGGCTATTCCATCAATCAACTGAAGGATCTCTCCCTTACAAACTATGTTAACAGAGGCAGGTCAAAGAAAATCTGACAGTCACTGGTAAATTTATGCCGTATCTAGAGTTAAAGCACTTTTCCCTAGAGCAGCAAAGCTTCTGCTTTGAAGCAGCTTCAAGCACATTTAAAATAGAAAAAGCTTAGCTAGCATGAGCACTTTTACATGGTTTTAAATTCATTGCGTGTAAAGCTATAGTGTCATTTTCAATAAAGGAAAGTACTCTTCAGGCAAATTTATCTCAACTACAATTTGGTTAGCAAAAATTAGTGACTGACTTCTCAACCAGCTGCAGTTTTTTTTCCCCAAGCTACTTTAGCCCAAATCTTGCACACAAGTAAAAAGCATTTCCTCTGCTAAACAGATTGCCATCTAGAAAACAGGCAAAAAGAACATAGCGGGAAATGACTAGCAGGTCACAAAGCAAACAGGCGACAAGCAGGAATGGAAGCCGGTTTTCCGACTTCAAGGAGAGCGGTGTGCCATAAGGCCCACTTATGAACAGGTCAAACGCCTGTCTGGGAAAGACCCATTCTAAAGGGAAACACTGTTCTAAAGGAACACAGCAGCGAAACAGTTGCTTTTCTTACTATCAAGCAGGTTTGAAGCATCTACACATCTTACTGTGATAGTTACAGCACTCGGCATGGCAGAACAAGGCACCACCACCTCTTCCTGAAGTGGCAAATGAGTTTCTGGCTTTCAGGGAAGTCATATTAGTTTAAAGTTGCTCATTGAAGTCCCACTGCAAGGGCTGGCACCCAGCTAGCCACTAATTTCACTAGCAGATCAGGGGCTACGCAGGACATACAACATGTAGTGCCGTGAGTCACATAAGACAGAAGGACACAAAGACACATGTACAAAGAAAGCTTTGAAATTCAAAGACAGACTTCATCTTGCTACCTGTGCACAAAATCCCTACTGCAAACTAACAATAGTTGGGAAGATAAGCATCTGGAATATACTAGGATGGTCAGATGCAGTTAGTGTCATCTATCCCATTACAGATCATCTCTGTGATTTAAATTACTGAAAAACTAACCAAACAAGCCAGTATTTTCTATGCTGGGAACCTGGATCACTCAAACCTTTCCCCTGCCCTAGGAGTTTCAGTCTATTTCTATCATTCCTGATCAGCTACAAAGCGCTGGGATGAGAAGTTCATCTGGAAGTAGAAGGTCATTCTGCAAAGGAGAAGTGGCATCACCACCTTGGCACCTGGGCAAGTTCTCCTCAGTGCCCGATTTCACAAGACACAAGAACCCCGACCTGCCACTCCAAGTCCTGTGGCCAGCAATGCCTTGTTTCGTACAAAGCAGCCACTTACATAAGGCACCAAAACACAAAAGTATGCACTTAAATTGTTTGTAGGAGAAAGTAACTGCGTAAGTAAGAGCCCCAACAATGGTCTTTTGTCCTTTCTCACATCAGCAGTCGCAAAGAACAGAAGAGACACTTATTCTCAGACACAACTGAGCAGATCTTCTGCCAGTTGTAA